TTTCTCTTAGTCTTTTTTTTTAAGGTAAGATTTCCTTCTCCATTTTTAAATGTATATTTATTGATTTCAGAGGGATAGATAGAAACATCAGTGATGAGAGGGAATCATTGATTGGCTGCCTCCTAAATGCCCCACATTGGGAATCGAGCCCACAACCCGTGCATGTGCCCTGACAGAGAGTTGAACCATGACCTTTAGGTTCATAGGTGACACTCAACCACTGAGTCACGCTGGCCAGGCTTTCTCTCTGTCAGAGCTAAGAAGGCTTTAGTCTGATTCCAATTTGTAAGTCTATTGAGAGTTTTATTTTTCTGGAAGGTAAGAGACTTTATTTTAATTGTGTTTCTGCAGTAGCAAGTGAGTCTAGTCTTAAAGAAAAAGGAGAGCAAGGAAAGGAATTTTTAATGAACTAACCTGAAAAGATTTTTAAAAGACTAGACAAACATTCACTTATTCACTCACTCCATTTATTCATCCACTCAGTCACTTTTGTGAAGCAGCTTTTATGGACATGATACTTAGTTACTTTCTCCTGAGACTTGAATCTCCTTCAAACTAGTCACCTTATCTTCAGAAGTTATTTCTATGCCCAGAAATAACTAAAATACCAGGTAAAAAGCTATTGTTTCCCCCAAAGTGGGACAGGTAAAATAAGATCGAAGTCCTGAAGGTAGAAGGGCCGTGTCTCATTTTAGGAAAGAATTGAAAGAAACACGGTACTTTAACACAGTAGGGATCTGGATCTTGGAGAAAGTAGAAAGAAACCTTCCAGGTCATGTGGGCACAGCAGAAAGACAAGAAAATGGTAAGCTTTGGCTAGGCGCTGCATAAAAGAGTTTCATTAGGGTCGATGTGAAGGGAATGGGGAGGCCAAGTGTAGCAGTGGCTGATGTTAGAAGGCTGAAGGCTAACTGGAGGGATATAGACTTGGCTGAGGCACTGAGCGGTGAGTGATACCCTGTTTCCCCGAAAATAAGACAGTGTCTTATATTAATTTTCTCTCCCAAAGTTGCGCTAGGTCTTATTTTCAGCGGATGTCTTATCTTTCCATGTGCTAGGTCTTATTTTCGGAGGATGTCTTATTTTCGGGGAAACACAGTAGTTACTGAAGTTCTTCAGAACACACAGTATCATAATCGGGACAGTGCTTCAGGAAAGTAAAGGATAAGCCACACTTATTTCATAGTCAAACAATTAATTCAAAATTCAACTATCCATTATGCCCCCAAATAGGTATTAAATAAAGTCAGTGCCTGCTAATTTTCCTCTTTTTTTTAATATATTTTATTGATTTTTTTACAGAGAGGAAGGGAGAGAGATAGAGAGCTAGAAACGTCGATGAGAGAGAAACATCAACCAGCTGCCTCTTGCACATCCCCTTCTGGGGATGTGCCCGCAACCAATGTACATGCCCTTGACCAGAATCGAACCCGGGACCTTTCAGTCCACAGGCCGATGCTCTACCACTGAGCCAAACCGGCTTTGGCCCTCTTTTTTTTTTCTTTTTTCTTTTTTTTTTTTAACTGAATTAAGTGTGAATCACTAAACGGCAGTTACTTTTCAGTCTCACTGTGGATCAGCTGGCCTTGTCTCCATCTTCGTGACTCTGAAAACAGCGATGCTAATTAAAGATCTTACCTGAACGCGAGGTACCAGTTTCCCACTGACCTGTGAGGGTCCCACCGCCTGTGAGTCAGGCAGTCGTGACATCTCATACAGCTTCCTGATGAGGCCTCTTTCCTGCCTGGGTTCTGGCCATTTGAAGAGCCATGCACCTTTGGAAAGTACCAGAGGGCATTTGCACAAGATCCAGAGGCATCAGTCACTTGTAATCATTGATTAAAAATACTGCAGTGAAAGCTGCAGCTGAAAGAGCTGTGCTCTTTGCAGTTCAGCCAAGAACTTCTCTTGGAGAGCTAGCCAATTTATCATGGGAATAGGTGGTAAAAGTAACAACAGCTAAGATCATGGCACTTCACAGCTCCTGAAAACGAGGAAAAAGGTCACTTTTCCTAACTGAGTCTCTAGATTCTGTAGGTTTTTAATAAGTAAACACCAAAGATCAAAGGCAGCAGCTACAACAGAATGTAGATAAAGGAAGGCTAAGAGTAGCTAAATGTTTGAGTAGAGGGAGCATCTTTGTCTTAAAAACTCTTCCAAGACATCCTTTGACTGTCTCTCAGTCACTAGTGGCCTAGTTCTGAATTGTGTAACCTTGAATGCATAATTTTTGGGGGGGTTTTAATCCTCAGCCGAGAAAATTTTTCCATTGATTTTTAGGAAGAGTGAAAAAGAGAGGGAAAGACAGAGCGAAACATTGATGTGAGAGAAACACATCAATTGGTTGCCTCCTGCACGAGCCATGACCAGGCTCCAGGCCTGAGGAAGAGCCTGCAACCAAGGTACGTGCCCTTGACCAGAATTGAACCTGGAACTCTTTGGTCTGAAGGCCAGCTCTCTAGCCAATGAGCCAAGGGCTTGGGCTTGGATGAATAATTTAAGCTCTTTGAAACCCAGCGTATTCATTTGTAAAATGAAAATTATGCCTTCCATATAGAGATGATTGTGAGGATGAAATGATTCCATGACTTGTGTTTGCTTCAAAAGTAATACAAGAAAGAAGAAGAGATCAGGATAAAATCAGAATTGATCATTAGGCAGAGATTGTTGACACAGAACCAGGCACCTAAAAGCTCATTACACTGTTTGGTCTAATGTACTCTGAAATATGTTTGAAGGTTTCCATAATTAAAATGTTTTTAAAAGGTGAAATCAGTCAAAATGTGTCTATAAGGAACAGTATATTTCCAAGGACTAAAGAGTTGTGATAGATTTTGCTCTAAGATTGCCAAATACTTGGAATGCCAAATGGAGCATTTTGCTTTGGGGAAGATTGTTTTCAATGATAAATGAGTTGGGCTAAAATTGTTATTTTTTCTGTGTGATCATAATTTGAAAATGTCTGCATAAATTCTGTCACAACTGAGGGTCTACTTATTAGAAAAATGAAAGAAACAAATTTGAACTTTAAGTTCATAAAAGATAATCACATTGAGAGAATGTGAGGTATTTTTGTGTGTTGGAAGGTACATATTATTGTTATTTCTCCTTCAAATATTTCAGGTTTACATTACTGGGAAGACATTTGGACTTCTTGGTGTTTTTCATTTGTTCTCAAATTTTATGTTATTAGCAAAATGCTGTTTCCAACTTGAAAGATGGTTATAATGCTTTACTTTGACATACAAGAGCAATTGTTTTAAATCAGCATTAAGGCAGAGTACTTAAACACGCTCAAAGAATGTTTGATTCACATTTCAGTATCTAAGGAATTTTAATTCTACTGAGATTTAGCTAGTATTTTACAAGTAAGATTGATTATACATTAGGATAATTAGGTTTATTTTCAACTCCAAGAACTGCTCGCACAATCTCGGAAGTGGTTTGAATACAGTGAATCCCATGTTGATGTATTTTAGAAAAATGCAGTTTTCCTTGCAGTAGGTGTCGTCAACCACAGGAGTCTTCAAGTTGGGGAATGAGAAGCTGGGCTGTGAAACAGTCTCCATAGGGTTTAGGGCCACTTAGGTATTATAGTTTTAAGTGAATGGCTTTCCACTTCCTTACCTCCCTGCTAAGTATCCTTTCCCACCTAGATTTTAATACAATATCTTCCTCCTCATATGGCAGAAAGTTCTAACTTTCTAACTCTCGCCCAGAGTGCTACCACCTGTGAGGGTGAAGAAGGGAATGTGAGGGGGGACAAAGGGAAGAGGACAAAATATTGGTGTCCTGTTAAGAACTACATGACTATAATGACTGGATAACATACTCTTCTGCCTGTTGGACAGTTGTAAATCCTATAGCTACAAACAAAAATGAAGGATCTGGCCCTAACTGGTTTGGCTCAGTGGATAGAGCGTTGGCCTGTGGACTGAAGGGTCCCAGGTTCGATTCTGGTCAAGGGCATGTACCTTGGTTGCAGGCACATCCCCAGTAGGGGTTGTGCAGGAGGCAGCTGAATCAGTGTTTCTTTCTCATTGATGTTCCTAACACTCTCTCCCTCTCCCTTCCTCTCTGTAAAAAAAAAAAAAAAAAAAAAAAAAAAAAAAAAAAAAAAAGTATTTTTAAAAATTGAAGGATCTAATGGAGTTGTCTTATGATATATTATTAAAAAAATTTGGTATGATGTTCTAACAAAAGTTTATTTACTTATTTACATAGACAAGATTTCTCAGCACTAACATTTATCAAAGCAAAGATTGGGATATGATGCTAAAGTTTTAGCAATAAGTAATATGCATTGACAGAGTGTGAATTAGTTATGAAAAAAATGTCTCATCAAGAGAGGACATTTTAAGAAACTGTTACTCTTGTTTAATAATCATAAAATTTGTAATGTGTTTTTGATGTTTTGATCAATTGTGTTTGAATAATTATAATGATCATTTCAACCAGGAGATTTATTTTGGATACTTAAAGCTTATGTTCTCAGGGGGTTAGTAAGTTTAAATTTATATTTTGGTGGCAGGGAAATATGATATGGTAATCAATAAAAAACACTCAAGCATAAAATTATATTACATTAAGATAAAATTATGTGGGGAAAGTAGTATAGAAATAAAAAATGTAAGAGGAAATTCCTATTACAAATTTCTATTTTCAACATTTATTTGTATATTTTTTAAGTGGTGGGTATCATATTACCTATACTATTTAGATTCCATTTGATAGTCAAGAATAGTGGGACAGTTATATATTAAAAGCTAGTAATTTCCCCTAGTATGTGGAAATCACACACTTTGTGAACACTTAAACCAAAGGGGGAAAAAACTTAGCTCTTGTTAAAATATGAAAGGACTGTGTCAGATGTGTCAGTAAAGGTTTGAAGCCCGCTGGTCCACAGCACACTGGAGGCTGCACTGAATCGGGAAGGAACAGTCTGAATGCACACAAAGCCCCATCGGATCTAACTGGGGATGCTGCCTTTTGTTCACTAGGACGGCCTGACACCGCTGCACTGTGGAGCCAGGAGCGGCCATGAGCAGGTGGTGGAAATGCTGCTCGACCGAGCTGCCCCCATTCTCTCAAAAACCAAGGTAATTTCTTCGTAGGTTTCGGGGCATTTGACTGTACTTAGCCTTGAATCCCTTCCCTGGTTGTTCCACCCAGCCCTTTGAGTTAAGCAGAAAATGCCATCGTTTCCATTCAGCAATGAGAGGGGCTGTGCTCACCAAATCTCTGGAGAACCTCACAGTCAGTTTGGGCTTCTGAAGCCTTCAGTAAGAAGAGTTCTCCCAAAAGCCAATTTTGCATGTGTTGGTTTTGTTTTCTTTCTATCAGGAGCACTTAGTGCTTGATTGTACTCTGAGTTGCTTGTTGGGGAAGGAAAGATCTTTTAAGGTCTAGATTCTCTAAAGTCTAGGGAACCGGCTCTCTTTCGTCAGCCTTTTGGTTTATTTCATGAATGTTCACAGACTGGTAACGAGGCCAAGGATGTCATTTTGACCGACAAAGAATGGAAATTTTGGAAAGATTGCACCTTGGTTGGTGTCACAGGGAAAGTTCACATATCTGAAAAGCACACATGTGAATTGCCTGGGGGAAAAAATGTTTTACTAAGTGTCTTCTAGATTTTTTCATGGTAAAACCATTTGACCATATTTGAAAAAAAAAGGGGGGGGGATATTTGTAAATAAATTTTGGAACTACCCCATAGTCACCAGTATTTTTATTAATCAATGATTTTGGAAGCTCTATGAAGCTTTATAAAGAGCCTTAATCTCTTAACTTTACCAAAACAAAAAAATTACATGCAACTTCTGTTTGCACCCTAATCAGTGTTTCCTACTCTTGGGAAGATAGACAGGATGGAGGTAGTCTCAGCGGTTCCATCACTCATTTGAGATGTGGAGTTTAGATTGGCAAGCTCTGGAGGTGTTACCCTACAGAAGTAAACAGTCACGATTTCTTATTGTGGTGCTGACATCTGGGTCTCTCAGGTGCTTTCACCTAAACTACCTACCCGTTCTTTTCCATTCTTATGGCCCATATCTGTCTCTCTTCACACCACCGCTGTCTTCTGAGCCACAGCATATCTCGCTGAACCCTTGTCATAGCTTCATTGCTGGTTCCCCATTTCCCTCCTTGCTCCTCTACAACCCAGTTTCCATTTTGCAGTCAGAGTGGCCATATGAACTGTCTAACCAAGTCATGTCAACCTTGTGCCTAAAAACCTGATTAATTCTCGTTTTTCTCTTTAAAATTAATTTTTATTTTATCAAAGCAATGTGAATCACATAAAATCATTGTATCATCATCTTTCTCCTGTTGCTCATTTCATTATCTATTTGGATTTTGTTTTTGTTTTTTGTGGGGGTGTTTGTGTGTGTGATTTTGAGTGTTGTTTTTTGTGTTTTTTTTCTGGAGAAATCTCATTTTTTTTTCCTTCCATGCTTTTAATATTCAAGAGCAATTTCTTATACTCTGATAGCTTCTTTTCTTAAAGCATCCAGGTCTTGTTTTATGGGAACAATATTTTATGTTACCTTTTTGAAGTAACTCCTCTTTAATGTAATTTTTCTCCCGCTTATATGTCCATAATTCCTCAAGTGTCTTAGTTTCTCTTTGTTGGCTTTGGCTCACTCTTCCATGTTGAGGGGTTCCCACCCAGGTGCGTCAGGTGGTGGCAGGTTGGAGCGGCCCTCTAATGTCAGGATAAAGTGTGCTTTTCTCTGAGAAGTTCCTTCCGTTTTTTGAGAGACCGAATTCTCCAACCTTTGCTAAATTACTGTGTGAGTAATTTAGAGCAGTGATTTTCAAATGTTTTCATCTCCTGGCACACAGACACTAATTACTGAAATTCTGTGGCACAACCAAAATATATTGTTTGCCTGTCGGACATCATTTTAACCCATTCACACTGGATGGCTATTGTGTTGACCATTGTCGTGTCTTGGTTTGGCAGTCAAAGGGGAAAGAGGTCAGTGTACCTGGCTAATAGTCAGGTATTACATGTTTTAAAAATTCATACTGCACAGCAGCTGAAAATCATTGGTTTACAGTAAGGAAAAGGAAAAGGGCTGTTAGTGTCCCTGTCCTGTGTGTATACTTTAATCATAACAATGATAACTTATAGAGCGATTAACTGCATACCGCTTTCTAAGCACTTTACGCAATATAGTATCTCCTCACAATAGCTCTATAAGATCCTAATATCACGATTACACCCCTTTTATATATTAGAAAACTGAGGCCCAATAAAGTAGCTTCCTCACAACATCTCAGCTAGTGGCCGAACAAGAATTTGAAGCAGGCAGTCTGCCACAGACACGGGGCAGCACCTGTATGTACTGTAAGCACCTGGTCTCAGTCCAGAGCTTCCCCACTGCTCTCTGCTCTGCCTGGGCCTCTGCATCCAGAGTCTCTCTAGCTTACTTTTTCCAGAGTCTAACCTTCTGGCTTCCTACATGGGGGCAGGCATCTGGCTTTGCTGGGTTGGGAGGGCCTGGAGACCTGGCAGCTCTGTACACAGGGGCACCAATCCTACTTTCTTGGCATTAAGCGTCACTTTTGTCTTTCTGAGAGAGAGCACTGTGCATCCACATCCCTGCCTTTGGGGCATTAGAGAGGCACACCCATTGGCTTTGTTACACCCAGTGGCATGCTGGAGCCAGATCATTGAGCCTATTGTGTACATCTCGTCCCAGCTCCACCCCCAATAACTTGGTGTTGGTCACTTGAAATTGGTCGTGGAGGTCTTGACATCATGGGGATTGGCAGATACTGCATATCAGGGCCTTATTTTTCAAAGAGCTGCTGTGAAACCTTTATCAGCACACCACTAATTATACCCCTCCATGGACTTAGGTTTTAGCCTTCTTTCTCCTGCTGGGAAAGTTAACACATTTATATCCTTTCTTCATATTCCCAAATGTATAGACAGTGCCCATCTATTTTTGTTTCCTATGTGTGTATGTGTGCGCGCGCTGGTTTATTTGTGTGCTCGCGCTCTCTCTCCATTAAAATGAAAGCAAGAACTTTGATTAATTAAGTGTGGTACCCCAAGCACCTACATAGGTGCCTAACATATATGGTAGCCCTTTGGTAAATATTTGTTGAATGACTATTACGTGAATAAATGGATTCCTAACTGTAAGACCATCTGTCTAATTCTTCAAGACTCATCTTTCTGAGCTAAGAAAACCCATCAAAATGGATCCGTATTTTCAGCTTGATGAAGGTGCCATGTGTAATAAGACCCCTCTCCACAAGGCAAATGATCTCTACTTTCTTCTTGTCTTTCCCCAGTGACCTATGCTACCCACTCATGTGTCATTAGTTTGTGTATGGTTAGAGAATTGCCTTCATTTACTGACACTGCTTTCCTTTTCTACTCTCTCTATGTCACTTGTTCTCTCAGATTTTGTGATTTTGTTTACTGCATGTTTTCTCAAAGACTGTATCAAAACATAAAGCAAAGGAATGTTTTGGCAGGGAATAAAAGAGTGCATATGGTCAGTTGGGGATGGCAGTATCGCAAATGAGAAATGGTCCCATCCTTTTTTGCACCTTAATTTCTACTTTGTTCAAAATGTTTGCAGGAATTTTTTGGATATAAGTATCCTGCCTGCCTGACATTGTAAGAAGCCTTTTAAATTTACATAAATATTTATTGAGCTCTTTTCTATATATGCAAGGCTCTCTGCTGGCCAATATGGGAAAGTTATGACCCATGGACTTCTTGCTTTCAAGGAAGTTGAAATATATGTCAGTGAGTGAATGATACCAGGAGAGTGTCTAGAGCAAGGCTTGCATTTTTTTTTTTTACCTTGAACTTCCATTTTATGTTATTCGTTGATAAATCAGGGGAAATAACTTGTCCTAGAGGATTCTGAATACTTTGTTCATCAGTGCATACTTAACATACCATTTTTTTCAACATTTATTGATGGCCACTTTTTTGGAAACTGAAATTGCTGTCACTTTTTCTCTGCTAAAATATGATAAATTATGTTACAGTAACTAACAGGGCCTTTCTTGATAATTGGATTCTCTAGGAATTTCCCAGGCTCCTCCAATTTGCCTACGTATTTAAAGGAAGCATGCTTGAAAAGACTGACAACTTTTTAATTGTTTATTTTTAAAGTACAACTGACGTACAATATTATGTTAGTTTCAGAATGACCTAATACCTTGTTTCCATCTTCATTAGGAAACATACTGAATACTAAGTGCCACTCTAATCTCTTTAAATTTTTATTTACCTGTGAACCCATTCATGTCTTCTCTCAGCTCTTCATGTGAATTTCTGACTCGTTCCTATTGCACACACTTAACTGTGTCATTGAACCCGGTTGATTTAAACTGAGTTGATTTAAGCTTCAATTAATGGTTTGGTCACTGCCTTGCATTGTCTCATTATAGACACATGGGGGCGCCAAATTAATGGGAAATGAAAAAAATAGGTTCCTTTCTACATTGACATGAGATGAAATGTGTTCTTGTAAGCAGACCTTTTTATTCACTGTATCAATACAGTATTCGATATCAAGTATTAGCAACTCATAAGGACAAAATGAAAACCTATTAAACACCAGCCTGTCCTACCTTTGTTTTTTCTTTTTCAGTCTGGAAAATTAAGAATTCCAATTCACTGGGGATGCAATGAATAATGGATTTTAGTGCAACTCACATTTTTTAAATCAGAAAAAGAAATTATCTTTGAAAATGTATTGATTTCTATTGCTATAAGAATTCAGAGGACTAGTTTTAAAAGTTCAAAACAGTTGTCAAAACTTTGAAACACTAGAAGGTACTTCTGTGTGAAAAACTAGAGTTTTTAATCTATTCACATCTGTGCTATATTTTGTGTCTGGCACATTTTTTTATTAAAAGCCATCATAATAAACTCTGATTCTCTTGTGTGTTCCAGAATGGACTGTCCCCACTGCACATGGCCACGCAAGGGGATCACTTGAACTGTGTCCAGCTTCTCCTCCAGCACAACGTGCCTGTGGACGACGTCACCAACGACTACCTGACTGCCCTGCACGTGGCCGCCCACTGCGGCCATTACAAAGTGGCCAAGGTTCTCTTGGACAAGAAAGCTAACCCCAATGCCAAAGCCCTGGTGAGTGGCTTGGCCAAAAGGTCGAGATGTCTTGCTGAGGACATGCTGCCTCTGTATGCGAAGGGATTGCTCTTGAGGTCTAATTAAACCAAGTGCACTTCTCCTCAACTTTTTCAAGTATCCTTCTGGGAAATCTATAAAACCTCCTTTTTCTGACACCAGCGAGGCTTGTGGGGTTTGGTCGTTAACCTCGAGCTCTGGGGGAGTGACTCGGTCACTGAAAGCATCATTTGTATGAAATCCTATCTGGTCTTGTAGTTGCCTTACAATGTAGCAGAGAAGTAGCATAGGCCTTGGTGACCTTTAGGGTCACACCAGTGATTCTCTTATGTAAATGAAACCCAAAGACCATGCAAATCTAAACTTCCTGAGGTAGTCCACCTTATCTTACTGTAGGCAAAGTTATAATCCAGCGATTAAAAGTTTCTTCTGAGGCAAAAAATGATTTAAAAAAAAAATAAAACACAACACCACATACATTATCAACCATGAGAAGTCTAGGAATTTATGAGCTAAAATGCTATGTTAAGCATGTAAGTTAATGACATATGGCCTGTCATCTACACAAATCTCAATGTTGGTCTACTAGTCTGAAGTCTTAGCTCCTAAAATGACTTGTGCTGTTTTCACCCTTAGCTCTGTATGGGAATTTGTTTGTTGTCTTAGAAAAATAAATGGTCCCAACTGAGTCAGCTGTTTAAATTTAGTTCAGAAGAAGCACCCACGTTTAGGAAAAACTAAATCACCAAAATGCTAAGGAGAACCTGTGAGTGTATTCATCCCATCAGCCCTGTTAGGGAGGGTCTCTGCCCTTTTCCAGTTGTGGTCACGTTGGCTGAATGGATCCACTGTCTGGCTCTGAAATTCAGGGTGGGCAGCCAAGAATGAGCAGAGGGGAGCTCTCCAGACCCCCAGGCAGCTGCGTGACCATAGTCATTCTAAGTGCTTTTCTTAGAGCAGCATGTTAAGAGCGGTTGACCTGACCCATGTATCAAACATATCTTTAAATTCTGGGAAGGGAGGAAAACAAATTAGCAGTCATGACTCATTTTCCATACAAGAAAAAAAAAAAAAAAAAGCCTTAAAACAGGGTGTGGGCTCTCACTGTCATTTTCCTCTGACTCGAAAGATTTCGCAACATGTGAAGGCTGTAGCCAGTCATCCTGGCGTGGACTCTGGCCAGGTAAAGGGAAGCACCTGCCGTGACTTTGACCTAAGCTTTTAGAGTGGACCCCCGGGACGTGATATAGTTCTCTGTAGCGACTAAAATATGCTCATGGTCTCAATGATGAGGCAGTATGATTTGGCAGTTGATTTGTTTTAAATAAGCAGGTCCTTTTTAACAGATTAAATATTAAATTAAACGATCCAAATAATGTTGGGTTGTTGAACTTTCTGCTTCCTTGAATTAAGCACCTACTTGAATCTTAAAGAGGGAAGGAGTGAACACATTCTAGAACTGGTCTTGTAGTCGCCTTACAGTGTAGCAGAGAAGTCAGAATAGGCATTGGTGACCTGTGGGCTTGGAAGACAAGTGTCAGGGCCAGCTGTTTTTAGTCTGTGTTTGAAATGAGGGAGCAGAAGGATATATTATTTGGAAGAGTGAATTCCAAATAACCTAAAGAAATAGAGAGGCCATATGTCCTTAGCTCCCAGGGATTGTGACAAAAAAAAAAAAAAATTCACAATTACCAGAGCACCTTGGGTTCCTAGGACCAGCTAGGCTACCTGTGCTTCCAGAAAAGGATCTGCATTCTGCCCAGCACCATGTTGTTACTGCTCTTTTCCAAATCTTTCCAGAAACACACTGTGACAAAAATGTTGTACCACACTCAGTGTAGTGGGATTTCCATGGGATGTAGTCAAGTGGATATGTGTCTCTGTCCCTTGCAGAATGGCTTCACCCCTCTTCACATCGCCTGCAAGAAGAATCGGATTAAAGTCATGGAACTCCTTCTGAAACACGGTGCATCCATCCAAGCTGTAACGGAGGTGAGAGGAGTAGGAGAGCTGGGTCCCCAGGCACTGAAAGGGTAGCAGCTGGAGTCCCAGTGTCAGCCCCAATGACCAGAGAGTTTTGCTCCGGGTGATTGCCACAGACTACTCTTACTCTCTGAGCCTTTCACTCGGGGCTGCGAGTCCCAGGGAGAGCAAACACGAGTGTGGGTGGGTCAGGGCAGGTTCATCACCATGACTAGAAGCACAACCCCAAACAGAGGCTTCGTGCTCTGAGGGAGTGACTCTGACCCTGAAAGCATCATTTATTTGAAATCCTATCATGCAGTGCTTCTCAAAGGGGGGCACTTTTGCCCCCAAGAGACAGTTGCAATGATTGGAGGTTGTTTTTAGTGTCACAACTGGATGGTGCTACTGACATCTCATGGACTGAGGCCAGAGATGCTACTAAACAGCTTACAATGTACAGGCCAGCCTGCCACAGCAAGGAATTATCTGGCTCAAGATGTCAGTGTGCCAATGAGCTGAGAAACCCTGCATGATACAGCCACTGTGTGTTTGAAAAGTTTGAATTACTCTCTCAAAAACTCAGAGTTAATGAAACAGAGTGAAGGACTAGCTCTAGGGTTCTAGGGTTCTTTTGTACAAACCAACACAGAACCCAGGAAAAATAGTCCATCAGGATAAGGGCTAAGCCTTCAACACAGCCAAGATAGCCTGGCATCTACCCTCCAAACTCCTCCCATGTCCTATCCCCGTGGTCAGCAAACTGCGGCTCGCGAGCCACGTGCACCTCTTTGGCCCCTCGAGTGTGGCTCCTCTACAAAATACCACGGCCTGGGCAAGTCTATTTTGAAGAAGTGGCGTTAGAAGAAGTTTAAGTTTAAAAAATTTGGCTCTCAAGAGAAATTTCAATCGTTCTACTGTTGATATTTGGCTCTGTTGACTAATGAGTTTGCCAGCCACAGTCACCTAGCATGAGGTCCCTGTAGATTCTAGCCATCAACACTGCCCTAGACTGGACACCCTTTTGTTCATAACTCTCTGCTCCCTCCATGTGTCGCATACCCTCAGGCTAATCCCGCACATCCCCCAGGACCAGATCTGGGCCATCTTTTCCCCGGAAACCTCCCCTCGCCCCCTGACCTAGTCCAAGACCTCTCCCCAGGACCACACTACCCCTGTGCGTACTTCCACCAAAGCACTGACTCGGCTGCTTTACTTATGACCCAGCCAGCCCCTTGTCCCCTAGAAACTGCAGGCACCTCCGGACAGCCTTGAGTCTTGTTGGTGTTTAGAGGCCCACAAGGCCTGGCCCATAGGTGATCATTCCGCAAAGACTTGTTGATTGCATCATAAAGATGATGGGATTTGAGGTCAACCTAAACTGAGGTCTAATCTAGTATTCTTGCATTACCTCATCCTCTCATCTAGTCTAGTGGCCATTATAATATTTGCCTTAATTATATCACCTCAATGTATAATATTCATATAGTTAAAATCAAATAATTGAGACTGTTAATGTCGATTTCCTCATTTTAACATTGTGTCAGGCTCCATGACCTTTCACATGTAATATAAGGAAAGCATGCTGAGTGTGTCAAAGTCCTTCCTGAAGGCCAGAGAGGATTTGAAAAAAAAGTCAACTTTTTACTAACACATCCTGTCTTGATTTGTAACCCTTAAAAGGTTTAAAAAATCACATGGTTGAAAATATTAATATTGATTTACACTTTCATCAATCTTATGGCTTCATGGTAGACACCCTGTTATTTCAATTATAAATTGAAATTAAAAAGTTTTGTATAAACTTTGTACAATAAGTTTATTCTCAGTACATGGAAACCCCTTTTAAAGATTAGAATGGCCGAAATCGGTTTGGCTCATTGGACTGAAGGGTCCTGGGTTCGATTCCGGTCAGGGGCATGTACCTTGGTTGCGGGCGCATCCCCAGTGGGGGGTGTGCAAGAGGCAGCTGATCGATGATTCTCTCTCATCGGTGTTTCTAGCTCTCTATCCCTCTCTCTTCCTCTCTGTAAAAAATCAATAAAATATATATTAAAAAAATTAGAATGTACTCTGGAGTAGAAGTGGAGTTTTGACTAATGCTTGAATAAATGACCAGAGCTGTCAGCTGGTGAGGAGACGCTCCCAGTGTCAGTCCTTGCTCCTCCTGAGCTCTGAACACCAGCCCAGACCCACATGAGAGCTTTGCCTGCTCCATGTTATAACAAGTCTTTTCCTGTTTGTCCTCAGTTCCCACTAGTTGAAATAGGTGCAACCGGAATTCTTCCTCCTTTTCCCTTTCTTCCCCTTCTTTCTTTTACTTCACTTTTCCCCTACAGAATTCCTTTTACCTTTTTTCTTTTTTTTTACATTATTCAAATTTCTGTGGACATTTGCTATCTCCTTCTCTCTCCTTAAAAAAAAAAGTCAACTTCTTCTAACCATTTTAAGTGGGTTTTTTTGTGTGTGTGTGTGTTTGTTTGTTTTTACCAAATTAGGATGTTCATGTTGTAAGTGAAATTATATTCTGAAAAATTAAAAATGCAATCATTTCATGTACAAAGCAGAAATGTTATGAGTTGTGTGGTATGTTGGCTTTGAAGCAAACTTAAGAATGAAGGTCTAGCCGAGCCAGTTTGGCTCTGGGGGTGGATGGGTGGAGGGGTGGAGGGGTGGAGGGGTGGATGGATAGATGGTAGGCAGTGGTTGGGCAGGCAGACAGAGAAACCCTTTTTATGATAAGACTACAAACCAGCCTTTCCCTCTTCTTCCCTCAGTCGGGCCTTACCCCAATCCATGTTGCTGCCTTCATGGGGCATGTAAATATCGTGTCACAGCTAATGCATCATGGAGCCTCCCCAAATACCACCAACGTGGTAAGTGTCCTTTTCACAGAGAACTTACTGAACTGGCAAAGGTTGCTCTTAACTACTTTTTTATTGTTGTTATAAGTAAATTTATTGACATCACGATAGTATTAACACACCAGACCACAAAGCATAACTATGCTAGTTGGACTCATGAGTACCAAAGGGGCTTAGTCATCAACAGTGTCAGAAGTTAAAATAAATAAAAAAATGTTAACATTAGAAATAAAATCAGCAACATTCCGGCTCCGAAAAAGCAAGCCAAAAGTTTCCTGTGCTCAGACCCTGAGGGTGTGCCACCAGCAAAGCTCTCTACTAGCAACCAGAATCAGCACAGAAACAGACCAGCGTCTCTCCGTGAAATACAGGCTTTCCTGGCACTAACACCAGGGGGAGGTTTCACCGTATACTGGGTAATATGGTAACTATATCCTCAAGATCTTTCCAGTGAACACCTTAACAAGTTTTGTGTGAAATATGTCTTTGTTATACATCACTTATGAGAGAGAATATATTTTACTATTTCTTTGTTCCTATCCATGTCTTCTATACTGTTTTCATTTTTTGTTGTTACATAAATGAACAATCTATGGAGGGACGGAGTGGGGGGTGCGGTTCAGTGGCAAACAAACTGAGCCCTTGCGATAACGCCTGAAGGCTAGGAGGCTGATCTGATGAGATAAAGCAGAGAAGGCACACCGGTGGCCAGCAAGCCCACTCTGGCCCTCACGTGTGTCTGTGTTGCCCACACAGCACTTTGGTGTCTGTTTTGTTATCCAGTCCGGTTTTGTAGTCAGCTCTGAAGTGTACACACATATCCAGGCTGCCCCTCCTTTTGAACAGGAAGATGTGGCACCCTGCACAGCCCCACAGCTGCCTGCAGACCTCACGTAGTAGCAGCCACCTCCGGGCTGGTCTCAGGCTCTTCTCCTGAGCTCTCACCACTTGGCTCTCTTCACTCATGTACCTTCCTCTCCCCCGTGAGCATTCACATTTCCACCCTCAAGGAGGCCACGTTGGAAGTTCTTGGACAGCATTTCTGACCCTGTTGATGACTAGGCCCCTCAGGTTATACCAAAGTTCTTCCATCGTGGATCAGGCTCCTCTGAAATTCTTGTGTATTTCATCTCCTGTCCCTCCTAGTCTTCAATAAGGAAGTGCTTAGGAATATATATATATAATATGAAGCCGACATCATAAGCTTCATGCAGATAAAACATGCTGCTCTTCTTCAGAGCTGCAGTAACTTTGTACTCCTCTTCCCCAGAGAGGAGAAACAGCGCTGCACATGGCAGCTCGGTCCGGCCAGGCCGAAGTGGTGCGGTATCTGGTGCAAGACGGAGCTCAGGTAGAAGCTAAAGCAAAGGTAAGTGCAATTCCTGGGAGCATTTGCTATTGGTGGGAAAAGTCTTGATTTTAATAAGCCCTTTAAATATATGTATGCTGTCTTCTAAGGATACTTCTTTAAAGTAGTGAGCGACCTCCATTGGAAAAAATCTCTACCCAAGTGATATTGTTAAAAAAAAAAAAAAAAAAAAATCCCTTCCCTGTGCATTTGTCCATTCAGTTATTTAAGGGGGTTAAATAAATAGAACAGGCACTTTGTGCCAGAAGGAACTTTGTGTCCTTGGCACATGGGTAGGCCTGAACAGATTAAGAAGCAAACCTAGACTCGGTCCAGAGTTCTTCACACTCTGGGGAGAGGGGCTAATGCACAGGCTTCTAGGATAAGCTCAGTTTGGAAGCATAACTGAGCTCATCTGGTTGACTGTATGACAGCTGTCACAGCCACCAAGGAAAAAGGAAGTTTTTACTTTTTCTCTACAAGTTGTGTAACCATAAACCCTGGGACTAAGGTCAGAGTTGCTTCAGGGATCTGCCTTTGCATAAAAAAAGGAACTCCAGGGTTAACTTTGGGTGATGGGAAGACACCACCAATAAAATTCATCCCATGTGAGTGCATTGTAACTGGTGGAAGTTTAATATCCCTCCTAGGTATTTGAAGTTTATCAGGATTTATTTCCTTATCTCCCCCCAAAAAGGAGTCATTAGATGTCAAAAACTGATAAAGTATGGCAGGTGGTAGTGGAAATAATTTGTAGATAGAAATGTCTCCCTTACTTTCATGCTAATAGTTCGTTAGAAATGTATTTAGGTTTACCATCTCCACTCCACTGAACCTTGAAGAAAAGGTCAACGAGATTCTCTTTATTACTGAATAAGAGTTGAACTTTAGTTTCTGATACCAGGCAATTTGCTAAATGTTTCTCAAGGGTACCGTTGTTTTCCCAGCTAATCAGCCTTGCACTTCCGCCTTGCCATTTAGGATGACCAAACCCCACTTCACATCTCAGCCCGATTGGGGAAGGCGGATATAGTCCAACAGCTGTTGCAGCAAGGAGCGTCTCCAAATGCAGCCACGACTTCCGGGTACACCGCCCTCCACCTTGCAGCCCGAGAAGGGCATGAGGACGTGGCCTCATTCCTTTTGGATCATGGCGCATCTCTGTCTATAACAACAAAGGTATGAAAACGAGTCTTGGAATCCTACCTTGTCCCTCAAAATACATCCTCCTTATAATTCCCAGTGTGTCCTTACAATATCTGCTGTGTTCTCCAAACTACATCCTCCTTAAGATTCCTTAGTACCTATTCCCAGCAACAGGTACAACGATTGTATATCATCACCGACACTTGGGATCCCAGGGTAGTCCCAACATGGCCAGCAAAACCCTGGAGTGGGGGAGGGTAGTTAGGGTATGTGTAAGTTTGTGTGTCTGTGTGCCTGGCTTAAGTTTCTCAGTATACATTATCTTCTAATAAAAACGTACTGATAACTAGAATCAGATATTTCCTGGATGTTATTTGATAGATTTAATTGGTGATTTAAAAACACAACCAAAGATTTCTCTAGCTGGGGCCATGTATATAAACCACATTATCAAAGCTCAGTTGGTTGATATTTTTATACTTTCAAACCAGGAAGAGAATTTGGCAGGGTAATTTTTGTTTGTTGTTGTTGTTCCTTTTGTTACTATTGGGTTGTCTGACTTATGCTCTGATTTTTTTTGAAATCTTGACTCTGATATCTTGGAATGATAACGTTCCAACCAATTGCTCTGCAGATGCAAAATGTAGAGGTCATTTTTCTTTCGTTACTGTTTAACCTTGTAGGTGTGATAGGAAGATAGCTGGAAATGGTATTGCACTCTCTTATTTGGGTGCAGAGAAGAATCATTAATGTGTAACCAATGAGCAAGATAATTACAATAATTTTAAATACTTAATAAACTACCTGGAAAAAAAAATGACTACCTTAAACTTCACCACCTGTGATTCTTTAGGCTCTTCGGTAAAGTTGAGATCTGAGTTCCTGGATCTCATTCAATGTGTAAAACATTTGGGGTTTTGAGTGCCCCAGCCCATTCACCAAGCCAGCTGCCCACTGGCTTTAGTTGGCTATAATCTCATGAGGTCAAATGTGTTGATGACCCTGCAGTCCCTGTCTCATGCTTTGGAACCTCCCTAATGGGAGAACTGCTAGATACCCACATCCTTGTAGGAGTTGAGAGCAAGAGAGATTAGTACTCAACCTCAGTGTCAACTCTCTCTACATGTTTATTAGCCTGGAACCAGGTGTTAATATTCAGTGCAGTTCACCTGTGTGTGAGGACCTCTGGCTCCTCCTGAAGTCTAGAACGAACATAAAGATATGTGCATACATGTGGAAATGGCGAAAGGAGAAGAGAAAGGCTCCAGTCTGAAATTACAGGAGGTCCAGATTTGCACTGGATGTCCACAAGCCCACCAAATCCAAATTGTATCTGGGACTCTGAAAGCCATTCTTCCTACAGCATGAAATCCCAAAATGGCCCTAGAATAAGCCCCAAATCCAGCTCTCCAACCTCATCTTGTTTTGAGGACCTCTTAGTCCCAGCGTCAGTGGCCCGCTGTGGCTCAGTCAACACACACAGAAATGGAATACCCTGTTCTTCTTTGTCCGTGAGGGGACACTCTGTTACCTGCCAGTCTTGTTCCTTCCGTGCCGCCTTCCCTGCTCCTCCTCATTACAATAATTCATCAGTTCCAGAAGAGGGATGCCATTGGGTCATTTCTATTGTTCGTTATTTTCGTGTTTCATTTTTCAGAAAGGATTCACTCCCCTTCATGTGGCAGCAAAATATGGGAAGCTTGAAGTAGCCAACCTCCTGCTACAGAGGAGCGCATCTCCTGATGCCGCTGGGAAGGTATGGGGTCACCAGCCACCCTGCGTAACAGGTCACTCTCATGATAACAAAACACGCACTTGCTGTTGTTCGCCACCAGCCACCTAAATGATAACATCCCTATTTTTTAAGTCTCATAGGACAAGGAACCCTGGACATAGATGAATGCTGGGGTCCAAGTGCTGTGGCAACCACAGTGTCAGTAGCACTCCATGTTGTACCCGAACTAATCCCGTCTCCTAACTCTAGGCCTCGGATGTTAAGACACTGTTGACACTGGTTGTTTCTGCACGTGTTTTCAGAGCGGGCTAACTCCACTGCATGTAGCCGCACATTACGATAACCAGAAGGTGGCCCTTCTGCTTTTGGACCAAGGAGCCTCGCCTCATGCAGCTGCAAAGGTACCTGTAATCCGACAGCATAAGGACCCTGGCGGGCAGTGCCCATCCCTCTCTACATCCACGTCCACTTCCACAGAACTCTACGCTCCTAAGGAATCTGTGCCTTCAGCTATTTAGTCAACTCGTCTGGTAGATGCTCAATAAATATTTACTTGTCAATTGATTTTCCTTGACAATCCAGGACATCCGGGAGCCTGGGGAGGACATGAAGGTCAGGTAGAGTCATCAGCCAGATGAGAAACCTAAGTGCAAGAGAGTTCTGATTTGTCAACGTTATAGAGTATGTGTCACATTTTCCCAGGCCGTAAAGCAGTGCCTTCAAGGAATTTGTGTTTCATAAAATAAGTTGGGAGGTTTTGCCTAGGTGTTTTTAATATTGTTAAAGGGGATGATTATTCTCATTGTTAAGGCATTTTTGAGCAGTTAGACAACCTAGATTTCTCAGAAAAGAGGTGCATAGAGTGTATGGCTTTTTTATCCCTCTGTTATTTGAAAGGTATTTATGGAAAGATAGGTAAATGGAAATATGCTTTAGGAAGTGCTGTGTTGTTGCGTAAATGGCTGTGATCTTGAACATTGGAATGACACAAACCACAATCTAACTGCTGTCCAGGTCTTTCACTAAAGGTTATTGGTTGAAAGAACTTGTAGCATCCCTAATGCTTTTTATATATCTTTGTTTTACTCTTCCACTTTGGGAACCTATAGTTCTCTTCCTTAAACTCAGTGTTTAGATCAAACTTCTGGTACACACAGATCAAGGAACTAGATTACTTTGGATACTTTAAACTTGTCCTTTTAAAGTATTTAGAGAATGTTATCTTGCACAGGAATTTCTCCTCAGAACCTCTTCTTATGTCTTTCTCAAACATTTCCTGAGCCATCCTCTCCAGAATTATATCCCTTGAGATCTACAATTCAAAAGCAAGCCCCCGGACTTGCTTTGCATCTAAATGCAGCTTTTCTTCCATAATTTCAGACTCTGACAAACATTCTTTCTTAAAAAATAACCATGCCTTGACTTTAAAGAAAAAACAACTATATCTAAGAAGAAAGAAAACAAATAGCAGCATTATTCACAATAGTCAAAGGTGGAAGTAACCCAAGTGTCTATTGAGGGATGGCTAGATAAACAAAATTTAGATTCTTCATACAAAGGAGTATTTATTCAGCTTTAAGAAGGAAAAAAAATTCAGACACATGCTGCAATATGGATGAACCTCAAAGTCTTTGTGCTAAGAGAAATAAGTCAGTTCACAAAGGACAAATATTGTGTGGTGTCAGTTAAATAGAGACAGAAAGTAGAATGCTGTTTGCCAGAGGCTGAGGGGAGGAGGAAATGGGGAGTTAGTGTTTAATGGGCACAGAGTTTCATTTTGAAGCTGGATAGTGCTAATTGTTGGAGAATAATTTGAATGTACTTAATATATTTAAAAATAGTTAAAGTGGAACGTTTAGTGCTATGTATATTTTATCACACTTTTTAAAACAAAATTTATAATGAAATGTAATATTTATACATTTCATTTCAGTTCATTTTGATATCCCTTTGAGCCTGAGCCAATTTTTTATGTTATAAATAACCCTGTGTTATTAATTAATAAATAATTAATAAGTGAACTATTTATTTCTCACATGTGAGCAACAATGTTGACACAACTAGTGCAAGAAGTTTGTAAGTACAATAAAATGAATCCAATCCACCTTTCCATCCACAAAATAACTTAAGTCAATAGTTGATATATTTGTGGTTGATTTTTTTCAGTTTTAAATTTGTCCAACAAGACTTTGTATTCATGGTTTTGCATCTGCAAAACATCTTTGACAAAGAATTAAAAAGCAGTTCTTGAACTAATTCCTTGTAACAGCCCTTTAGCCTTGGACTACCTTTTACAGTCAACTGAACACGGGCTTTTCTAGGGGACATTCCCTCTCACTCCCACAGCACAATGGTCTCAAAAGAGCTTCTGTAATGCCATCTCTACACATTTCTTTCTTTTTTTTTAAATATATTTTATTGATTTTTTTACAGAGAGGAAGGGAGAGGGATAGAGAGCTAGAAACATCAATGAGAGAGAAACATCGACCAGCTGCCTCTTGCACATCCCCTAACAGGTATGTGCCCGCAACCAATGTACATGCCCTTGACCGGAATCGAACCTGGGACCTTTCAGTCCACAGACTGATGTTCTATCCATTGAGCCAAACCGGTTTCGGCTCTCTCCACATTTCTAACTATTCCCATTTTCTAGGGCAGTGATCCTGGTCAGGAGCTTTTTGTGTGTGTGTTGTTGTTGTTGCTGTTGTTGTTTTCTGTTGTTGTTTTTAGACTTTGATCCTGATCAAAGGGGTTGGCATCATTTGCTAGGAAAAAGACCTAGCATAGTGGCTTAAATTGATGAGAGTCCATTTTTCTCTTGCCATTAATAGTCTTTTGGCTTTTCCCTCCAGAGGTTTCTGTTGCTCAGTCAGCCAGGTCTTGCAACCAGCAGGAAAAAAAGTCAGACAATAGAGTATTCCTCTAAGCTCCACCCAGACATTTCTCTTTACTTCTCATTAGCCACTTATTTTTGCAAGGGATGATGGGAAATGTAGTTTTTCACCTGGACAGAACATCAGAGTTTCAGTTATCAAGGAAGGAGGGAAAATGGATCTAGGGTAGGCAAATGGCGTCTTTACTCCAGAGAGCTCAGGAACTTCTGAATTCTGGCTGTGGTGAGAAACAAAGGACAAAGACTCTAGAGGACATGATTAGCTTTTGGTTATGACAGTAATGACAATGTTAACTCTTCCTTAATTCACAATTTTGGTTCTCAGAGTATGTGATGCTTTCTTCTGGCCTCTCTTCTCTTTTGTAAGATATGTTTTCTTAGCCGTACTTAACCTGGAAATATGATGTGATTTTAGGTGATGTGCCATGGGGGATACCTAAAAAGTAGATGGGCTTCTACAATCCATTTTATCTTGATCTGTTTCCTGAGGCAGATACTGTTGGCATCAGTTTGGGCCTGACGTGGGCACTAATAGTGGAAGGGATAGTGAGCCTTAACTTCTTGTTTGCCCGATTTCTCTTCCTTAAAATGTGCAATATATCTATTAATATGGATCAGCAGAGACTGTGAAATTCTTGGCGGGGGGGGGGGGGGATATAAATACTAGTATATTACTTTTTAAAAATATATATATTTTTTATTGATTTTTCACAGAGAGAAAGTGAGAGGGACAGAGAGCTAGAAACATCGATGAGAGAGAAACATTTACCAGCTGCCTCCTGCACACCCACTACTGGGGATGTGCCCACAGCCAATGTACATGCCCTTGACCGGAATCGAACCTGGGACCTTACAGCCCACAGGCTGACGATCTATCCACTGAGCCAAACCGGTTTTGGCTAGTGTATTACTTTTGATCATTTAAAATTTCATTTGCTATTGTTTTCATCTTGAAATGATGTCCTTTGCCCTCTACATCCAGAGGAAAAAAATATCAATTAGCATTACTCTACAGTTGCATCTCTCAATATTTTATTTCTCTTCTGATAAATGCATCTGTCTCCTTTAGTGTGGCAAGGAAAAAAGTTTACTTTCTAGAAATTAGAAAAGCTAAGGCAATTTAGAAAATTCCATTGTAGGTCCCAAGATGAACTGTTAGTTTATTATTTGAAATATTTCTACAGTCTTTCAAAATTACTTTTCCATTCTGCAGTCATACCATGGTTTGTTTTCTCTTGGCTTTATGCTTTCCTTTGTGTCTCAGGTAAGGAGCTCAGAAAAGCCCGGGTGATAATGAATAATGTGTCTGGAATTGACCTGTGCTACAGAGATGCCAGATTCTTTAGATTTGGGTTTTTAGAATCTAAAATTTTTTGTTGGAATTAGAAAGGAATGTCTTATCTCAGAGGATACTGATCTGCCATGAGAGTTAGAGAAGTGGCCAACTTGAAGGGTACATCAGTAACAATAGCTATGAAAAAAAAATGGCAAGATGCATGATAAGAAGCTATACTCTTTCTTGCCTTTTCAAAACCCTCTTATGGACTAATCAGAATTCCTGTGTTAGCACTGCTTTGTGAATTTTCCTTTTAATATAGGGGTGGGGACACTGATAGCTCACCCCCTTCTGTCTGTCACTCACTGCAGAGCTGGGCTCACTCCAAAGCTCTCATTTCTGAAGGCCATCACTGAAGGGTGTGTATGAACAAGGGACAAATGCTTCTCAGGTCAGCTGGAGTTTCCAGATGGCAATAGGTCAAAACTAAAAATAGAGATATAAAATTGTATTCTGTCCTGGCTTAGCCCATTTAGTAGAGGCTGGTTTCACAAGAGTCTGGAAGTGGCATTTCCACTTCCATGGGTTGATACCCAATAGCTTAAATTGTTTCTCTACAGTTGCTTACAGAAAGAGTATTTCTCATGTGCAAAATGCTCTCATACTAGGGTATACCAATGACTTAAATGTGCGAGCTGATTGCAGTTGGCTAGCTGATCAGTGGAACAGCAACTTCTGTGTTGTTTCTGACTCATCCACATGGCTTGGAAAGACTGCTACTGATCCACTGTCTGAATATGGATCATATTCCCAATTATAAATCCTTAAATTTTCTCTCTCTCTCTCTCTCTTTCTCTCTCTCTCTCTCTCTCTCTCTCTCTCTCTCTCTCTCTCTCTCTCTCTCTCTCTCTCGTTTATAGAAATCAATCTCTCTCATTTATAGAAATCAGTCTAATTTTTATTGGCATATATTATATCCTCAGATTCATATCAAAATGTAATATTGTTAATTGACTGTGATCCAAAACAAGGCCCCTTAAGGGAAGAGGACTTTGAAGGTTCCTAAGTCACAGCTAACTCTTAATTTGTCAAATGACCCAGCTGGTATGGCTCAGTGGTTGAGCATTGACCCATGAACCAGGAGGTCATGGTTCAATTCCGGTTAGGGCACATGCCCGGGTTGCAGGCTCGATCCCCAGCTGATAAATGATTCTCTCTTTCCTCCCTTCCTCTCTCTGAAATCAATAAAGACATATTTTTAAAAGATAATTTGGCAAAGGAATTTGGGTTGCCTGTCCCTCTGAGCATTAAGGGTCAGATAAGAGAAAGATCAGAGAATGTTCTCAAAGCCCTAGTAAAGATTGACTCAAATTCTGAGGATTCTGCAGACATTGTGAAATACTAGAGATACAAAGACAAATATCACACAATAGGTGCCTTCAATAAATTTATATTTTAGTAGGAGACGCATACGTAAATAATAATAAACATTACTATAGATCTAAGATAGCCACTAAATATATCCAGGACTTTGATTGGAGTCAGTCAAGTGGGGAGCAGGTGTAGAAGGGAGTGAGAGGGAGTCAAAGACTTCATGAGGGTGTGACCCTTGAGCAGAATCTTTAATGGATAGATGATGGCCCAGAGGGCATGTTGGGGGAAGTATTTTTGGTAGAGTAGGCAAGACAGAAACATGAGCTGGATGTTGTTTTGGGGATGGGTGCAGCTGAAGCATAGCATAGAGGCTGGAGTTTTGTGTAAGAGGCAATGAGAGGATCAAATGGGATATATTATAGTAACTGACTACCATCAAAACTAAAAATTTCAACCTGTAAGCAGTCAAAGCGATTTTCAAAGTGAAATAATGGATCTGAACATTGTTTGGATCTGACCATATTGATTGTTGTTTCCTAGTAGGTTTTCCTCTCACCCCCGCCCATTTAAATATAGAAAATAATTATTGAGCACCTACTAACATAACTCCCTGTAAGAAGGAACCCTATTTTCCTTTTGTAAAAGCAACGGTACTCTGACTTTTGTATTAAACTGTTTATAAGTATTATACTTTCCCTGGTTAGATGTGGGACACGTGAGGGCACTCCATTAATGACACTGTCTTATTAGTTTTTGCTTATTTAGTAATCAAAATTAAAAAAAAAAAAACATTTAAAAAATCAATAGAAAGCGAAGCATGCTGTCTTGAAAATATACTGCGCACATTTTTATCTTGTTACCGGGCACGTGACCAAGTGGTTCATGTTGACAGAATGGTTATACACCACTGCACATCGCTGCCAAAAAGAACCAGATGGACATAGCGACGACTCTGCTGGAATATGGTGCTGATGCAAACGCAGTTACCCGGCAAGGAATTGCTTCTGTCCATCTTGCAGCTCAGGAGGGTCACGTGGACATGGTGTCGCTGCTCCTCAGCCGGAATGCCAACGTGAACCTGAGCAATAAGGTAACCTTTTTCTTTCTCCCTAAAGTAGGCAATGCAACAAAACCGCGCCTCTCAAGAAGGTTGTCAAGAAGTTATGAAAAATCTGGGTCAGATAGGGTGTGTAAAGTGTAATGTCACAATAAAATGTTTACCAACGTATTAATTATCCTGGCAAAAACTTGGAAACAATCTGTTTGAGCAGTAAGAGAAGGGTAGGTCACTAATTGCAAAGTCATACAGTTGAGTAGCATATAGTCATGAAGTCCACAAAGTTTTTCTACAAACATGAAGTTATGTTATAAAGTTCAAAGAGTAGCATTCTTGTTTCACCAGAATGTAGCAAGTGAGGAATTGTGAACAGTAGCCTGTTGATTCTTTCCACAGACACGTTTGGGGCACCTGCTCCTGACCTATCTCAATTTAAGTCCTAGGTTACAAAAAGAAATTGGAAATGGTCCTGCTCTCTAAGAGTTCATTTTAATAACAGAAATTTAAAGTAGCTCTCTTATTCAATAGATTGGAAAGGTTGTTTAGTTTACACGTTTAATCTTCATGTGTAAGTTAGCAGTTCTGAGGAACTTGTAAAGACTGTTCCCAAAATTCTTCAAATTCCGGTCCTCATATTTGACATTCCTATTATAAGTGAAGAAAGTTTCAGCCCACAATTGAGCAAAGACTTATTGCAGTATTGTTGCATATATTAGAGAATTAGGATTTGCTGACTACCTGTGAATGAATACCTGAGTCTGAGATCTGCCCACAACACAGAATGGATGTTTCTAAGTCTTCAAACAGCACACTCCCTGCAAGAATGCCTCCAAATTCTTGATAATCCAAACTCTCCAGCAGTTAGCTTTTCCTCGCCAGTTAGTGATGGCACAGCCATGGCATTTCTCAGCTGTAGCTCAGATATTGGAGTAGAGTTTCAACATAGGAATAGTTTTATGGTGACAAATAACAAGTTCTTTATTTTTAACATATGTGGCCTGTGTTTCGGAATCACAGAGAGTTTAAATCCTAAGTCGAATTCTTTAGTGGAGATGTGTCATTTGGACAATGTATGTGAGCTCTCTGAACCTCAGTTTCATCCTCTAGAAAGGACAATATTTACTTCACAGAGGTGTCATGAAGATTAGCTAGATAACATTCAGCACCTTCACAGTGGAAATGAGTAATCGTATTCATTTTGGACTTTGTACAATTTTGAGAAAAAGAAAAGGTTACTCTGCACTAATCTGAATCCCCAAAGTTGTAATTTAACAAATTCTGTTTACCAGAAGACCAGAGAAATCTGTCTTGCAGTTTTAATATCTTGAAAATCCTTTTTGATCATTACAGAGCAAACACCTTTTTCATGTCCCTTTTCTCTGGTGTGCCAACTTGATTTTCTCATATCTTTTTAAACACCCCTTTTAGGAATGCAAGTCTCAGCATTAATGGGACTCACAAAGCAATGTCAAGTAGATATTCTAATCGGGATTTGTTTGAGCTTTTGAATTTTCTAAGGTTCATTACCAGTATGTAAACCAGCCTTCTAAGAGTTTGCTGCAACATTCAGCTTATCTACACGAGGTAGAGAGCCAGCCCTTCACAAAGTGAAGCACATTCCGGCATCCACTGGAGTGTATTTTCTCTTGTGTGCCCAGAATATTGTATCTCCTTCATTCTCCCAGAGACAGTGTAGACCTTAACAATGCATTAACAGGTTAACATTTTCAATGGGTTTTATACTAAAATACAGTGTGATTGACTTTTTCTTTTCTTTCAATTACTCCAATCAAGTGGATATTCACCATCTTAGAAACAAAGGTTATTTTTAGGCGGATAATACTTTAGAAAGAATTTGTCCGTGTTTGCATTGGTAGATGGGGCATCAAAAGGCAATTCTAAAGACCAAAAGGCATAGGTGATAAACCATCAGCCACCATCCTGAATAGACGCAGCGATACTTCCAAGGACAGTTTAAAGAGCAGACCAGCTGGCTTCCCTTTAGCACAGGGTGCTTAAGGAGCTTTCAAGAACTTTGCAGGACCAATAAACTGCCTCGTACCATGGCATGAGTAAATCTTTGCTTCCCTTCTCACTTGTTATTTTCTGTTTTAAACAAGCCCCAGTGTGAAAGCAGATCATCAGCAGCACATTATTATCCAACGAGAGGCCTGGTGCACAAATTCGTGCACAGGTGAGGTCTGGCTGTCTCACCCTGAATGGGCTCCTCCCACCTAGTCATTCCACCTTCCCATTTAAACACCAGACTTTATTTCCTTGCTAAAAAGTAAATATTAACAAAACAAAACAAACAGTTTTTGTGAAAATTTTCCATGCATGAAACACTTTATTTTACCTCTTTTCTTACTAGTAACCAGTAGTTCCATCAGTTGTTTTTTTTTAATATATATTATTGATTTTTATACAGAGAGAAAGGGAGAGAGATAGAGAGTTAGAAACATCGATGAGAGAGAGTCATCGATCAGCTGCCTCTTGCACACCCTTACTGGGGATATGCCCGCAACCAAGGTACATGCCCTTGACCGGAATAGAACCTGGGACCCTTCAGTCCCCAAGCTGATGCTCTATCCATTGAGCCAAACCAGTCCCGGCTAGTTCCATCAGTTTTAAGGAAGACCGTGAACTTGAGTTACTGCTCAAGTGCTAGTGTCTGATCTGCTGTAATTTTTATTTTGGCGTTGCTATTTTCCCACATGCATATTATAGGCCACAAGTCACTATATTTCTTTATAAAGCAAATAGAATATTAAACAGAGCTGTGGTTATTCTGACAATGGGGGTGTTTTCTTTTTTTCCAATAATTGCCATTTTTTAAATGAACAGTGATCAAAATCCCATAAAGATTAACAGGTCATTTCTGAGCTTAAATGAGACTAGTTTAACCACATTATTTTTTTTTAAATCTTTTTTACCAAAATCATGACTATAAAAATAAAATTTTCTTTATTGAATATATTCTGTTTTACCTAAAAGTTATTTGCTTTTGCCCTCTGATTCAATCAATTAGCAGATGGATTAAAAACTGACGCTCGATGCTGGTTATATAGAGATTAAACATGCGATATTTGCCTCGGCAAGCTCACAGTGGTTTGAGGAAGACAGACAAGAAAACAGAGTTGAAATGCGGGATTATGATCTTCATAGAGCAGGTGTGCACATAAAGGGAGCAATGAGGCCCTTTGTGAGCTGGGGAAAAGGAAGCCTGAGGAAATTGAAAATGGCTCTGTCAGAGGTCGATGGTCACCCACAGCGTGCAGGAAATAGGGCAACACGAGAGAGTGGGCCATGTCCCAAAGCACGTGCTGATAACCCCAGTGAAGTGTCTTCCGAGTTTCAAAAAGCCTCAGACTTAGACTAGGTGATCGTGATACTTTTACAAAACGCTACTGCTAACAATACTTGCTTCCTCTAGAGTAGGACATGGAACATTGTTCTATGATAATGTCAATCTTGGGTGGTGCCCCTGGGGCCCTGGCTTATTTTTCGTGGGAGTTCAAGTGAATGCATCTGTCTTCCTTTTCATATGTCCCTTTTATTCAGTCTGAGGGAGCTTCCTCCAAAATTCTATGGACGGTATTTAAAAAGTCAAGCAGGGGAAAAGTCATGCGGATTACCCTCCCAGAGTCCTTGGTTTGACAGAATAGCAACCCCTAAGTAAATAACGTGCAGCATCTAGACCAGCAATTTCCAACCAGTGTGCCACGGCACACTGGTGTGCCACGGCACACTGGTGTGCCACAGGGATTTTTAAGACATGTAACACCTGATTAGTCAGCGGCACTGACCTCTTTTCCCTTAGGCTGTCAAATTAAAAACTGGCAACAGCCAACACAATAGCCATCGGTGTGAATGAATGAAAATTATACCTCTTTTTGGTCAGATCGGCTAAAATGTAATACTTTTTTGTAATTAGTTTATGTCTGCCATAAAATGGAGAAGGTTGAAAATGACTTTTTAGAATAACCACCGCTCTGTTTATGTGTGCCATGAGATGGGAAGGGTGCCGAACCCTCTCTGATGCTGCTTTTGGTCCAGTTCTTTTCTCTGAAAAATAGAACGGGCTGGTGTTCTCATTGCACACAGGGCAAAGTGGGAGGAAGAAGGCCTGTGATGTTAGCTTCCGTGCTCATAACAGATGAAAGGAAATAATCTAGAAGCATCTAAACTTACTCACTTTTCCCTTATTATTTATGAGAAAGATTCTTCCCAAACCAAAGATTTCTAAACCAGGGCATAGTCCTAGTAATTTTCTTCCATCAGAACAACTATTGTGCCGGGACCAGTTTGGCTCAGTGGATAGAGCGTCGGCCTGCGGACTGAAAGGTCCCGGGTTCGATTCTGGGCAAGGGCATGTACCTTGGTTGCGGGCACATCCCCAGTAGGGGGTGTGCAAGAGGCAGCTGATCGATGGTTCTCTCTCATTGATGTTTCTAACTCTCTATCCTTCTCTCATCCTCTCTGTGAAAAACCAATAAAATAAAATAAAAATAAAATTAAAAAAAATATATATATATAGAACAACCATTGTAGTCTGCATAGTCTGTGGTACAGTCGGTTTCTAATATTTAGCCTCATTAAATCCATACACCATCTAAATGACCTGGAAATTCTCATGATACAGCATTCATATTCCTTTTCACAGACCATCCTTCTTACGCAGAAACAGCATACAGAAAGTATTTGTCAATTTTGAGTATTAATATTTAATGGGAGAAATATTATCATATATCAATATTAATTTATAAGTGATTTTTTTTTCTCTCTTTTTGTTAAAGCTAGTACCACTGGTGCTGTATTAAAATTTCATAATCTGGGTGGGAGGGGGTCTTATCTTTAAGGTGAATACTGAAGTATGTAGAAGAAATGGTATAATGTCTGAGTTGCTTTAAAATACTATGCAAAGGGGAAAAAAGGAATTGGGGCTGAATGAAACAAGTGTAAGGAAACCTTGCTACTTGCTGACTCTGTGCTGAGTGCAGAGTCTGTCCATTCCCTCTGCTTCGAGTGTTTGAAATTTTTCATTAAGCCTGTAGATAACAATGTTGCCACAGTGCCAGTGTATAAACTTATTCTCCAGAATTTTTTTAACCTAGAAATCCTAAGCTTTCTCCCCTGGAATTTATGAAATGCTTCTCCAACATGCCTGTCTACTTTTATGTGTTTGCAGAGTGGCCTGACCCCACTCCATCTGGCTGCTCAAGAAGACAGAGTTAATGTAGCTGAAGTCCTCGTCAACCAAGGGGCACACGTGGACGCCCAGACCAAGGTAGACAGAAAGAATGTGCCCATACAGTGTGTCTCTTAGTAACGCCTATATGGAAGCGAGTACAGTTTTATAGGGGGAAAAGCAACGTCCTCCGTTGTATCAGTTATACATAGTATTTCCAATGAGCATCTGTTCAAGGGACACTAAAGTCTCTGATTCTAGACCCAGATGCTTTTATCTTGAATGACCTGGGTGCTTTGTCTTAGCAGGCAAATCACTACCTTTCTGTGTTAGCGCTATTGGTCCTTATCACAGCAGATCCACCGTACAAGGGCAAAGTGTGAAAGCTTGTACAGTTTTGTAGTTTTTGTAACTGATGTAAAAAAAAAAAAGCATATTAAAAATTTCAGTAATTTGTGATCTCTCACTTTGTGCGGGCATAGACTATGAAAAGGGTACATTTAGTTTTATCCAGCTATTACTATTACTACTTGCTGAATTTGTTATGATGTGTATGGTTGCTGGTGCCTCTCTCTCTCTCTCTCTCTCTCTCTCTCTCTCTCTCTCTCTCTCTCTCTCTCTTGTCTCCCCCCCCCAGCAGTCCCTTCTCTCTCTCCCTCTTTTTCTCTCTCTCAAAAATAATCAATAAAACAAATAATAAATTAAAAATCATTGTCTAATTTTTAAATTGATAGAATTTATAACCCCTCAGGCACCTGTTGATATTCATCTAAGTAAGAAATAAGCCACCAACCACTTGGTCTAAATGAGTGGTTTCACAGTGTGGTGCTGCAGTTGGCCAGGCAGGACCCTGTAACTGGAGCATGTACACCTGCACCAGGCTCAGACTTCTCAGACCTCCTGAGCTCACCCCCAGCAGCCCTTCAGCTTTAGGATTGCTCTGTCATGCATTCTGATAATCGCCTACTGACTTGTATCATCATTTAGCCCCTTCATTTTGGTACCTTGATTTTACATTCTCAGAGATAAGAGTCTTCAGTAAATGCTAGTCAAAATCTTTCCATAGAAGTCTTCTGACCCCTCCAGAAGAAGCCCCGGAATCAGTCTACCCAGGCTGTCAATCACTTCATCTCACCGTTCAGTCTTGAAAAGTTGTTGAGAATAAAATGAGCTAATGCAAGAGAGCACTGTGGGAAGTGATATGGGTAACTGTTTTCATGTGAGATGGTATTATTGTTTACACCTAAGACTAACTCTGAGAATTATCAAGAGTGTTGGTTTGGTTTGTTTTGTTTATAGGAAAAAAAAACTATTTTTGTCAGTTCAAAAAGAAAGATTAAATAACAATTTGCTTCTATTTGGATGACTGCTACTAAAACTGTACTTATGATGTTTCTTTTTAAAAATATGTAATTACAGATGGGATACACCCCACTCCACGTGGGTTGCCACTATGGAAACATCAAGGTCGTTAATTTCCTGCTCCAGCATTCTGCAAAAGTTAATGCCAAAACAAAGGTAAACTCCTTTCTTCTTTGTATCCACTGAAATCATGGATTGTGTCTGAGGAAATGAGTCATTCCTTCCACCTTCCTTCTACAGAATGGGTATACGCCATTGCATCAAGCAGCTCAACAAGGACATACACATATAATCAACGTCTTGCTTCAGAACAATGCCTCCCCCAATGAACTCACTGTGGTAAGAGCTGAGGGCCAGCTAGGGACAGGGAGATGGGCCCGGGCACTAGGATCTTCTCACGTTTTTCACTGTGCACCGAAGTTGTTTTTCCTTTTGCATTCAGAGGCTTGAGGAAGCATACAGCACAATGAAGGGGAAAGGATAGTAATTATGTAGTTGTGAGCAGTCCAGAGCGAGAGTTGCGATTAGTGTCTCACACTCAGAAACTACTGATTGCCTTGCCCCTAGTGGGAAGTACACAAGAAGAAGAAATATGGGCTTGTTTCCTTGATTAGTTAGGACATTAAGAACCTCTTGGAGTCTGTCTGTAGCAGCTCAGATGCTGCTGTATACGTAGGAACAGGTTAGGTGGGTTTCATGTAAAGTATGTCTGATGTAACTGTTTTGCATGTGGCAATGGAATGGGCTGTGGAGACACTCGTCTTGGGATTTGTATGGGTGAAACAGGTGGAAACATACAGGCTCTGAGACGCGTGGGATTCCTTGCTAATTCCTTGTCCTTGTTTCCTTCCCTCTTGCCAGAATGGGAACACTGCCCTCGCCATTGCCCGGAGGCTTGGCTACATCTCAGTGGTGGACACGCTGAAGGTCGTGACTGAAGAGACCATTACAACGACGGTGAGTGTTGGACCCCGGGCCTGGCTACCTTAATACAAACATACAGTAGATCTTTTAAGACATTTCTCAGACAGTAGATCTTTCCTGGCTTTTGCAAAGATTAATCCCCTTGCCTCTGTTCATAAACTATGAGCCATGTTTCCAGATGTTGTCACCTCATTGTGGGCACTTGGCATAGCAAAACCCTCATCTCTGATACTAAGAAAACTTAAAAACACACTAAAAATTCCTTTTAAAGTTGCATTTGTAGCTATAGAGTTTGTCATTCCATATAAAGCAAAATGTATTTATTTGTTTGGATATTTTTAAAAAGTTTTTCCATCCTGAAAGAAGGCACAGTTCACATCTGTAGACAGTTTGTATACACAGTGTTTCATAGAAAACACAGAAGCTGTTCCGGCCAGGGTGGCTCTGTTGGTTGGCTGTCTTCCAGTGCAAGAAAGGTTGCCAGTTCAATTCCCAGTCAGGGCTCATGCCCAGGTTGCTGGATGTATCCCCAGTAGGGGGTGCGCAGGAGGCGACCAGTAGATGCTTCTCTCTCACGTGAATTTTTCCCAAGGTTTCTTGCTCACTCTCTCTCTTCCTCTCTCTCTAAAATCAATTAAAAAACAAACAAAAACATACACATACATTGGTTGAGGGACTCTTTAGCAATCTGTTACTACAGTTATTTATCTACATACTTTAGAAACTAAATAATGAGCGTGCTGATTACAAGAGAGAAGTTGGATAATGGGTGAAAGAGAAAGCAATAGCTTTAATGGAGTGGCAGGATAGTTATCAACCAAGGGCACGTTTCATTTTTTTTTTAATTGAATTTATTGATGTGGTATTGTTAATATAATTATATAAGTTTCAGATATACAATTCTATAATACATCATCTATATATTGCATTGTGTTTCACCACTTCAAGTCAGGTCTCCTCCCATATCCATATCCCACCATCCCCCCCTCTTTCCCCCACACACACATCTTTATCTTCTTCCAGACACATTTCTAACTTCAAGATACAGTTTGCGTGGGAGCTGATTCCCATATGTTGTTTTCATGTACCTCTTGAGGGTTTCCTTAATGTCTATTATTAAATTCTCAGGAAAAGAGTTAAAACAAATAATGTTAATATCCTTAATTTTATAGGCATCTCTTGTAGCTCTTTCTAGAGTGGGGAATGAGAGGAAGGAGAACAAGGTAGTAAACAATGATCAGCTGTCACCATGCTAGATGGGAAGTCACTGCAGCAAATCAGGGTGTCTCAAAAAATGTATAGACTCTGCAACAGCTAATAGCTGTTTTGAAAATGAAATGTATTTTAATGCATACTGACTTTATACTTATTCAAAATGTATATATATATACACTTTTTTTGGAACACCACATGACTCAACACAAGGCCTATATCTAAGACTTCTACTTCAGTGTTAGAGAATTGAAACTCATAGAACAGTTCAAAATCCAATCTTATTTGATTGAAGGGAAGTGACTTTGTCACCCATTCAGAAAGTTCCCAGGGTTTCCTTGATACCAGAACAGTTACAGGAGAAAATAAAGTTACAGGCAGAGAAAGTCAGGTCACAGCCTCAGGAAATTTCTGCAGGATAGACTTCAAGGCTCCGATTCCTAATGAAGGACACCCCACAGTGGGGGCCAAAGCCATCCCATACTCATCTTCATGGGCCTAGTTGGTTTCTGCCTCAGAGAGAAGACAAGACGGCACTCATGCTAACAGGAAAGATTCAGTTGGCCTAGTGGGAAAAATGAGGCTTTCACTAAATGGAGTTCTCACACTGATTAGAAAATAGTCCTTCCAAGTCCCTAAGATTCAGCCCAGCACTGGTATGTGAGACTGTATTTCAAGCTGAGACACCACCCTGCCAGCCCTGCTGCGGCAGTCCCATGCGATCTGGTTTACAGGAGGACTGATGCCATTCAGGGTGGAGCCTGATCTTAAACTCACCAAACACGGCACTGTCTCCACCAGAGGCAGACCTTTGCACAGCCAGGCACTGGGGCCCCATTGTTTCCAGAAGCAGACTTTAATGTTTAAAATGCCTTTAAAAAAAAAAAAAACAGCTGTCTCCCATAGGAGCACTGTGGAAGATGTGGCAATTCTGAGAAAGATGCAGCAAAGGAAACTGACTATGTAGAAAGAAACTGGTATGCAAAGATATGAATGAAGGTGTTTAAATTGTGTTGTTGAAAATACTCAGTTCCCTGAGTAGTAATGAGCAGAGTACATCTATCACTCGATCTGTTTTTTTTTTGAAATTAGTGAATGCTTATGTTCAATCTTTTCTTTTTAAATATATATATATATATATATATATATATATATATGTATATATATATTGATTTCAGAGAGGAAGGGAGAGGGAGAGAGAAATGGAAGTATCAATGATGAATGAGAACCATTGAATGGCTGCCTCCTGCACACCCTGTACCGGGGATCAAACCTGCAACCAGGGCATGGGCCCTGACCTGGAATCGAATGTGACCTCCTGGTTCATAGGTGGACTTTCAACCACAGAGCCATGCCAGCAAGCCAGATCTATGTTTCGAGTTCCATTCTCGAATAATGGGAACCAGGGCTCGTTGGAGAAATGGCTGAATCCAGCTAGAACTAGGGTAGGAAATACATAAATGAGCTGGGAACATCTGGTAGTGCCAAAATAATAATAATAATAATAATAATAATAATAATAATAACAACAACAGCAACAACAACAACAATAAGGAAATATTCTCCCTCCACCCCAAATAAACAAGTCAATAAGTAGACACACAAAAATGATGGAGACATGTCAAAGGGGCACAGAAATCAATGGAAAGAGTCCCCAGTGCTGAAAGCTGCAACAATTTGAGCAAAAAGTAAAAAAAGCAGTACCAGGGTATAGTGCAAAGTATAAAATAAATAGCCCTGAGTTCATTCTGGTAAGCAAATGACTAGATAAGTAGGGAAGAAGAGACACATTTCTTAGGCAAAAGAACTGTAAATAATTTTTGAGCCTACATGCCTCAGGTCACAGCCTCAGGAAATTTCTGCAGGATAGACTTCAAGGCTGAAGGGGTGGATATACTAGTAAGTCCCCGCTGTTGAAGTCTGGGTTGAGCAGAGTGACTTCCTCCCAAAGAAGATGGGATGGAAGGGGCAGAGGGGACAGAGTGACTTGACGTGGAGATGCCAGGCAGGCACTGCGTCAGCCAGGTGATGAGGCTAACGTCAGCACCACCAAGTCAGACTGATGGTATGTGATAAAAACAGCACTTTACCTCTGTGGTCTTCCTCTCAAAGCCATATCACCTCAGCCTCATCATGAGGAAGACATGAGACAAATTCCAGTCAGGAGACATTCCACAAGACACCTGATCAGTTTGGCCTCAAAACTGTCAAGATCATTAATAACAAGGAAAGTCTGAGAAACTCACAGCCAAGAGGAGAAATGACAACCAAAGATAATGTGGTATCTTGAATGGGCTCCTAGAACAGAATTCGGTAGAAATGTTAAAAATCTGAATATAGACTTTAATTAATAATCATGTACTTATATTGGTTCCTTAATTGTAATAAATGTACCATTAACTGTAATAATGTAAGATGTGAATAATAGGGGAAACATGGTGAACTCTCTATAATATCTTTACAGTATTTCTGTAAATTTAAAATTGTCCCCAAATAAAGCCTTATTTGGGGAAAAAAAAAAAAGTTTCAAGTTCAGTGTTACATGCTGGAAGCACCAGATAGTGCTGTATTTTAACATGATAACCGAGGACAGGGTGTGCAATCACATTTACCAAGAATTGGTAAAAACTATGGTAAGAAGCTGGGGATTTTACCCTTCCTGAATTTTAACGGTATAGCTTTTTTTTTTTTCAATTGCCTTATTTAAATGTGTATCTTCCTTTGTTCCATAGTCTTTCATGTGCTCAGAGTTAAAAGATGACTCTTTGAAACTAAAACATTAAGTCATTGAGATTTTCTAACGAGTAATGCTGTTGGTGTATCTGGATGGATACAATCTCTATAGGTCAAAAGCTATTGGAGCAAGCAAGAGATTCAGCAGGGCTTTTGCTTGCACTATACCATTCTCTGAGGTTATTAAAATGATCTTGCAAAAGCATTACCTCTAAAATACTTTTTCATATACTAGAATATATATATATATATATATATATATATATATATGGCACACGAGAGTCATTAAATTATGTAATTTGGAGTGGGGGTGTGTGTGCAGGAGGCAGCTGAAAAAAATTATGTAATTTGTACAATCAATATTGATTTATTCTAGAAATTAAGATGACACCCTAGTCAGGGAAGACAAAATAAATGGCTGGCTTGATAAGTAGTGAAGACACATATTTCTTGCCATTCATTTGGCTTATTTTCAGCCAAGACATTTAGTAGGATAAGGTGGCAGATTCATCAGACCAGGAAAAAGTATCTGCGATCTCTCCTCACTTCCTTGGAAAAGCTTTAGTAGAGATTTCAATATTTTTAAGCTGGTGTGCGTTGTCCCTAAAATTGTTTCACCTTGTGTTTGTTCTCAGCTGTGTATATGGTGAGGACTTAGATTACTGAAGGACATTACGATGTCATTTTATACTGAGGAGCTTTAGGATAAGAAACACATAAGCCAACTAATAATAAATCAACTGACTTAGAAAGAAATATTCTCCTTAAAACATGCACTCTCCTCACTCTAAAGTTACTGCTTCTTTTTGTTGTTGTTACCAGACTGTCACAGAGAAGCACAAAATGAATGTTCCAGAAACAATGAATGAAGTTCTTGATATGTCTGATGACGAAGGTATGAAAACCTCCTTTGAGTTCGTAATAGTTAAGTGACTGTGTATTTGTTTCCTGAAGAAAGTTCATTGCAAAAATGTTTTCAGAAACATTAGAATATGTTCTTGTAGCATCAACAGGTTACGTTTTCCACCCACTTACACTGTTCGCTTACTCATGCAGTTCGTAAGGCCAACGCCCCTGAAATGCTCAGTGATGGCGAGTATATCTCAGATGTTGAAGAAGGTATTTGCAATTTTTTATTGTGATGACCCTTAACTACCATCTTTATCCTCCATTTCTTATCTTTGAAATGTAGCACTTTCTTGAGTTACTAACTTTTCATTTTACCTTGAGATGATTAATTTATGTGTCATTTAAACAGCATATATTTGATGTTACTGATTATCTTCCTTTAGTCTTTCTGAATCAGTTCTTGAACCCGTTTTCCAGCTTAAAAATACAAGTCTCGCTAATTATCTGGATTCATTTCTTTCATTTGTTTCTATTAAGCAAGAAATTGATGTTTTTATTACTTAACATCTGAAAATCTCAAAAGGGAAAACTGATTCATCCTTATAGCTAAAATATTTTTTGAATAGCAAGAGAAAGTCTCCTTATAGGTAAGGAATCGGTTTCCCATTCTAAGATTTTCTCTAAGCTTTTTAGCAAAAGCACCTTTTGATCTTGGACTAATAATGAAAACTCAACCTGAACCAAATTACTTTTAAAATATAAATTTTCAATATTGATTTCATGAAAGAAATAACAATATAAGTGATTGTAGTTATACTTCATGTGCTTAAAAGAAACAATATGTCTTCTGTCTTATTTAAAAATCAATGTATTTGACCAGGCCATATATTACTTAATGACATCTTTAAAAGGCTCGGGGAAACTAGCATTTTTACCATGAATATTATAAAGATGGCAAGTCGTGGAGTTTTGCTGTAATAATTAAACATTTATTTATATAATGTATGTTATGTTTATGTTTCTTTCTTGCACCATTCGACTTACCAAAACTACATTCTATTTACTGCTCCCTTCATTTGCCATCTTGCATGTAGTAGTATTTTTCTCTTAAATCGGTCTTGGTGTTGCTAGTCTTGCTCTGCCTTTAGGTAACTTCCCCATTTTAATTATTGTTTCTTCTTTGATTTGTACAAATTTAATTGGAAATGTGAATAGTGGACAGGTCTACCTGATCCACAGTCACTTTAACTGTTTGCTGTACAATGACTGCCCAGTATTAGTCTGTGGCAGGGACTGCACACCCAGAGAACTAATTCTTGGTGATCATTAAGGACTTGGAAAGACCGGTCTCATTGTTTGTAAATATTGTTTGGATAAATGTTAACAAAGGTTTATTCATTTTTCTTCCTTTTCCTCTAAAACATCAGCTATATGTTCACGTCACCAAGTAGATAATATTTGTATCATCTTTAATAATATGCTTTCTTGTCATGTTATATTTCAATGCCTTCTAATGCCATATTTTCAGAGTAATTTCTGACAGGCAGGAGATACAAGAAAAATGATATTCTTACATAGGTCTGTGCACAGGCAGCCCATGATATCAAAAGTAAGTTTTTGTGATGAAATTATTATGAAATATAGTATGATAATCACAGACCTAAAAATTTGCTAGTTTTTAACATACTATCCCAAAATAGCCTCACTGATGAGAAGCTATGTTTGAATGGACTATATAATGCCTTATCCATGTGGATAGCTAACCAAATAATTTCAAAAAAGGAGAAATTTTGCATCTCTTCATTTGAAGATACTTGATCTAGCTGTTTAACTAGAAATGACAATCATTTCCTTTAGATGTATCTCAGTTTGGGAATTTGAAATAAATAAGAAAATTTTAATTCTCATTTTATCCATCTTTCCTTAAACACGTTGGGGTATGTCCGGGGGCTGTGGGAGTCAAATGGCTTTTGATTTCATAATGTCGAAGAATTTAATGTCAAAACGTTTTCCTTAAAGGTCACAACCTGAGCAATAGCCATTTAGCGCTGGAATTACCTCCATAGAACCCTCTGCTTAGGAGTTTCTTTTCCTAATACCCCAAATCCATGGTTGGCAAACTGCAGCTCCCAAGCCACATGCAGCTCTTTGGCCCCTTGAGTGTGGCTTTTCCACAAAATACCAAGGCCTGGAATAATCAATTTTGAAGAAGTGGCATTAGAAGAAGTTTAAATTTAAAAATTTGGCTCTCAAAAGAAATTTCAATCATTGTACTGTTGCTATTTGGCTCTGTTAACTAATGAGTTTGCCAACCACTACCCCAAATTATAGGAATTCCCCGGTTCCCAAGCTGCCTGTTCCATTATGAATAGCTCAGACTTTAAAAATTCTTCTTTATTGAGTATTCTGCAGCTTCTACTCATTGATCCAGGCTCTTGATATATCTGGCACTATTTAGAACAAAATCAGCCTCTTCTAGTGACAATCCTTTCCATGTTTAAAAACAGTTCTCATATATCTTCTCAGTCTTTTTTTCTCAAGGCATATTACCACCGCTTTCTTCCACTGTCCCCCACTATCATACTCAATCTCCTGTGTACATTTCAATGTGCCTCAGGGAAATCCATCTCAACTGCGGTGGCCTGAACTAAACACAATATTCTACATGTGGTGTGATCCAAGCAGACTGTAGAAGAGTTATTGCTTTGTCCCTGGATGATATTAAAAATCTATTATTAAAGATTAAGATACATTTGGGATTGTAATGTACATTTAATTTGAGTCATATTAATATTGCTGTCAGCTAAAGTCCCTAAATTTTACTTATATGAGCTTCAGTAAGCCACATTCTTCCTATCGTATAACACATCATTTTTTTGCTGTGGAAATTAGCTCTTCTAGAATTACTCCAAACCCCAAAATAAGTCATTTAGAAATGTTAATTCCGAAAGGCCCCTACAATCTTAATGATAATTTGTACTTCTGACTCACTTGCCTGACAGTTTGGCCAGAACTTCACCACTTTCATTGGGTTAGGAGCTGTCTGTTCAGTAAGCCTGAGGAACTGTTGCAAATGTTTATTTCCTCGAAACCACATGTTGTGAAAACGTCTTTCTACAAGCTCTAGTAAGAGATTGTTACGCTGGTCACCCAGTGTGCCAACAATATCAGCAGATTTTTTAAAGCCAATAAAAATAATAGCAATATGTGCTGTCAGTTTTTCTCAAGAAAGAAAAGATGAATGGATGTGTAGTATGGGGAAAATATAATTGTCACTTTAAATTTTGAAAACTGACTAAATGTTAACAAAAATAGTGGTCTCTCTACTTTCTTGCTTGCTTTCTCCTCTTAGGTCCACTTTGAGAAATTAGTAGACAGGAAAGAACATTGGGATTACTTTCTCAGAAAAAAAGGAAAACAAGTCTAGACAATGTTATCATTCAGTAACTCCAGGAACAATGGAGTCAAGTTACAGAGTAGAACAAAGGATGAAGCAGAGCAGGGAGGAAAGGCTATAAAGCAAACTTCTCTAAGGCAGGTTGTGAAGCCCAAACATGACACAGGGAGAAGCAACAGAGCTCCTCTGTTTACCAGGACCAGACTGGGTCACAAGCATCTTAATGCCCTCCTGTCTTCTTTCCCAGAAAATCTGTGACAGACATTAAATATACATACAACACATAATATCTTGATTTGAGTGCCAGTTAGATTCTTATGTTTTACAACTCAGTTTGCAATTCAAAAGAAAGGAAAGAAGAAGGAGAGAGAAGAGGGTGGGAGGAAGGAAGAAGGAAAATAAGAGAGAAAAATAAAAACAAAGGGAAAAGAGGAAGAAAGGAAATTGAAATTAAGGTTTACATTGTCTTCCAGCCTTGGTCCCTTCCCAAGAGATTTCACAGTTAGCTTTAGTTGAGCACTGCTTTTAAGTGGTAATTTCCTACAAAATGTATTTTTGCAAAACTTTTTTAAAGTCTATAAGATGTTATTTCCATTTTCATAATTCTACTGGATTGAGTAGCAGATATAAAGAACTAAAGAGAGGACATAAGAGATAATGGAAGTAAGCCATGAAAAGTAAAACCCAAAGAGGCGACTCTGTGAAATGTGACTCTACTGAACAGATTTATGAGACAACTGGATGAGCAAACTCTTGCTGGGAGGAAGTACTTAATTCTCGGGCACTTACCAATTTGATAGAGCTGCACAATCTCTTCAGAACCAAGTGCAGGTACTAAATATTAAAGTAAAAAATTGTTACACCCAGACTTCGTGATCCCCAAAGATCCCCAAAGACCAGGGAGCCGAGTCCGATGCAATAAACAAAAGAGCCTTTTCCATGCTAGCATGGGCTCTGTCCCACTCACGCCAGCAGCATGGTGGAAGAGAGAGCGAATTTTGCCCAGTCCAGGGGTTTTATTCTGGTCGGTGGTGATGTCACTGCCTCGGCTAACCCTGATTGGTTGGGTGAGGGCTAGGGTTCAATTACAGAATGGGGGATAACTCCGCCCTGCCCTCTCAAAAATAAGGCTCTAAATACATATGTGTAGAAGTAATTATCAAGAAGGTATGGGTTTAGATACAATAAAGTAATAAAATTCCATCCTGCATTAGAGTGGCATGAGGGCTGAGCAGAGTCATGCCCAGCTCACCTTGGTGCCAAGTTAGTGCCCAGTAGAAGCCGCAGTAAATTAAAATCCACAGATTTCAAAAAAACTGAAAGGGCTGGGTCAGTATCGTGTAGCCATGCTCTCCATTTTGCTCATGAGGAAGCAACGCCCAAATACATGTTGAGTGGCTTGTCCAACCAGGTGATACCCTTGTCTGGCAAGGAGACAGATCTGACTGTCTGTGGTTTTAGATGATCACTTCCCATGATAACGCTAACATGACCTGTTTTCTTGTCTATAAGACCCAAGAATGAATTTTTAAACTTTTTAATTTTTATTTCTTGAATTAGAAAAAAAATAAATAAATAAACAAAAAACAATGATTTGGTGTCCCATTTATTTTTTCTGACCAGGGATTAAAAAACCCTGGCATATTGGGACAGTGCTCTAAATCAGTGGTTGGCAAACTCGTTAGTCAACAGAGACAAATATCAACAGTACAAAGATTGAATTTCTTTTGAGAGCCAAATTTTTTAAACTTCTTCTAATGCCACTTCTTCAAAATAGACTTGCCCAGACCATGGTATTTTGTGAAAGAGCCACACTCAAGGGGCCAAAGAGCTGCATGTGGCTCTTGAGCCGCAGTTTGCCGACCATGGCTCTAGCTGACTGACCTTGCAGGCTAGTGCTGTTTTTAAACTCCTTAAGGAAAAAAAATTGCATATAAGAAAGGGAATAAATAATGCTTTTTAGAATTATCACAAGATAATAACTATAATTTAAAGTCATTAATGAGACTATAATAGAAATATTATACATTCAAAAGGCACTTTGGATAGAAGAGCTGGAAGAGGCCAAACCCTTGCCCACAAAGTATGCAGGATCTGGCACTCCTTTGTACCTGGGGACAGCGCTCATGTTCCTGTTTTTCAAATACGGTCCTCACGCAGCTGAGTAATGAGCTGAGACTAAGGCGGAGGTCTGGCTTTGGAGTCAAGGGTGGGTGAATCATTAAGACCGAATGACCACAAGGAAGAACCAATTAGCAGGATACTGCCACCTTGAATTTAGCTACCTAATTTCTCTGCAAGTAAGAACCAACATTTTAGTTTGTGGCTAGTAATTTATTCATCATCTAGTCTTCTTACAAGTGGCATAGATTTTAGATAATGAAAAGGGTGTGCGTAACCTTGCACCCCTTCCTCGCTGCATCCCAGCATTTATCCTAGGTGTTCATTTGACTAAGTCGGTGCGTGTACTGTCTATTCTTATTTAGATGGCTGAGGAGAAGTTCTGGATTAGCATTAAGGAATATTGAAAAGAAAACAAAAAAAAATTGTAGCTTCTATCACAACATTGTCTTCTTTCTACCTCTTCACAGGAAAGACACTAGATTCTTTTTCTCCTCTGGGATGAGTTTGTTTATTAACCCAGCCGAGATCACAGGGGACATTTTTCATTGCCGCGTCTGGAAAAGTTCCAACACTGAGTCATGCTTGCTTGCTTTAGAAACTATATCTAGCATGAATTAAGGAGCAGTAAACTGCTATACAGCTTTTTTAAAGAAGCACATCTAGCCGCAAAGAACAGCATACTGCTCAAGAGTAAAGAAGCAAGTTGTCTTTTATTCTCTTTTTTTTATATAAAAAAGAAAACAGCCCGAGAAACAAGAGTCGTTTGTTCTGTGGGACAGCAGCAACTTGTTATTGTCTAAGAGATGTGCCCATTTTGCCATTCAAGCCTGCTTCCTGGTTGGCCACCTATGAAGCCAGGATCTTCTGAACACGTAATGCTAGGGACGGGAAAGAAAGACCTCGGAGGCTGGCCCTCCCACAGCAGCACAGGAATCCCCTAAAAAGACACATTCTTCTTCATTCTTCTTAAGACCACCTCTTCCACTCCTGGCTCATCTCATCATTTTCTCAGCTTACCCCATTGTTCTCATCTGTTTGAAAGAGAGAACAAGGAAAGGTTATATTCCAGCATTTAGTTTACGTGTTGAAAGAACCCCCCTACCGCCAGGAGATGCTGGAAAACAAATGGTTAAAGTGAGACCCCCAAGTATCTGCTCATCCCTGACTCAGAGGGCAGGTGGAGAGCGCAGGGGGCAGGAGAGAACTCTCACTCCATTCTTGACCTTGGGCTTGGGGCCATCAGCCTCTCTCTGAGTCTCCAACCATCTCAAGAAGGTACTGGAGTCATGAGCACCTTTTGGGCCTCCAGCCAAAAACGCAAGTGCCTGTGCTACACACAGGAACCTCTGAAGCAAAGGGCACCATTCTGTCATCTGTACATCCCAGCTTCCTGGCATCCATCTCTCAGAACACTCACAGGAGGCCTTGCTTAATACAAACTCTTGATCTCGAGTGCAAATTGCAAGGTGAAATATGTACAATCTGGAATCTAAGTAATTTTCCCGTTAACTATTGTGTGACTCCAGGAAAGAATTAGACTTTTGGAACTAAAGTTTGAGTGGCTCGGGGGACCTAAACTTATTGTATTCCTCTTCCTTTCTACTTCCATTTCTTTGCTTTTCTGAGAATGCCAATATCAGGGGATTGAGAGAAAAAGATAATGGAAGCAAATATAGTTAGTCATTTGGGTTCTCCATGATGAAAATTTATTGTCTAAATGTCAGCGGAGGAAAAACATATTTTCATTAGGCTTTGAGTTGATGGAAAATAATTTTTCTTCAAAGCTTTATTTATTTATTTATTTATTTATTTATTTATTTATTTATTTATTGCATTTTTATGTTTCTTCTGTGAGCCTTCAAAAAATAAAATATGCTGGGTCTTATTTGATTTATCGCTAATGAGTTTAGTAATACTACACAAAGCTGCTGTGAAGATGAAAAGAAATAAAATATATGAAACATTTAGAACAGTGACCAGCATATAGTAGGTGCTCATTAAACGGCAGTCCTTTTGTTGTTGTTGTTAAATGCATAAAACTACTTATCCTGCTTTCTGCTGCAGAATATAGAATTAGAGAATAAAGCAGTACAGGAAGAGGGAGAACATTGAGATTTTGGGTCTTTAGGTAAAAAAATATATATATAGATGAACAAATAATTGAATTTTAACAACTAATGAATATATATGTTGCTTGACACTTGGATAATAATCCAATTTCAATGGCCCCTAAATATGTGGCCTACTCAGCCCATTTCCTACAACTCAGTTGTCTATCACTGCAGTAAACCTGCCTTTTTGCCATCCTGGGAGCATTGTCATTCTTTCCCTCTCATGCATGGTTCTCTGGCTCGGAATGGCCAACTTCCCATTTTTTCTCCTTTCTCCCTATCTTTACTCACACACATGCCCAGTCAACATAACCTGATCTATTCAATCAAACGTGATGCCCTCATCCTCTGAGCTCTTGTACTACTGTGTCATTTCTCTTGCACTCTGTCATTGTGGTGTGGTGGTTAAGAGCTTGGATTCTGCAATCTGTCTAACCTAGACTCCACCACCAACTAGACATATGAGTTTTGAAAAATAACCAAAGCTCTTATGAATCTGTTTTTTCACCAATAGAAGGGAAATAATAGTATCCTCTTCACAGGGTTGAGGGTTGTATGAGACATGCATATAAAATGCTCAGTTAGCACAGTGTCTAGCATATACACAGCACTAAAATTGTAGCCAGCAGGAGTAGCAGTAGAGTTTTGTATCATTGTTTGTGCCGTGGTCTTAACATTTTTACTAGAAACTAAATGCTTCAAAGGCAATCGTTGGCTTTCTTCATAACATAGGGCCCAGTCCAGTGCTCTACTGTCTTACGACTGAAAGTGTGGTTGCGGTCACCCAGGAGTTTGTTATAAATGCAGAATCTCAGGGTCTCCCTTGACCTGTGGAATCAGCATCTGCATTTTAACAAGGTCTCCATGTGATACAAATAATATACACTGAAATTTGGAGACACTCCACTCGATTCATTGAATTCAGTTGCTGAATCTGATGTCTTACTTATTCTCATCATTCCCACCAGGAAAATAGATTCAATTCTTTAGAAGCAGTACTGCCATTAGATAACTGCCATTCATTTGTAAGGGTCCTTTAGACAGTGTTTATCAAAGTGTGGTCCCTGGGTCAGGAGCATCAGATTCACTTGGGGTCGTAGATGCTAACACATCCTATAGGTTGAGAACACTGCTTTAGAACACTGGGAAACTGCCAGAAGTACATGAATATTGTGCATCTCCTTCTTTCTACCTTAGTTCATCTCTCTGTCCCATCTCTTAAAGACATAAATAAGGTCAAATAACATAAAATACCGTATCCTATTTCATGTTTGCCAAATATTTGCCAGTGCACATACACATCTTAATACCTACCTGGCAGATCTTTACATATCAAAATACTTTTCAGATGAATGAAACACACAGCCTAATGATTTGCCTGCCATCCCTGTGTTTTGTTTTGTTTTGTTTTGTTGTTTTAATTTTATTCGTTTTTTGAATAGGTGGTAGATGCACATGGTATAAAATTCCCAAGGTAGAAGAGTTGTCGGTGAAAAGTAAGTCTCCCGTCTTCTCGTTGCTTCAGTAATGTAGTTGCCATCTCCAAATGCAATCACTGAACTTCCATTGCACACGTTTATTGAGCATGTACTATGTGCCAGGCATTCCTCTGGGCCTTGGATACAGAAATATATAGAAGAAAAAAAAATCCTGTTCTCATGGAGCTTACATTTGGTTAGCAGTTTATCACAGTTTTTATTCGATAGCACAGCATATTGCAGTAGTTAAAAGTAAAGCTTTGTGTCAAACCAACTGATTTTGAATTTAATTTTCCCCACATAATAAGTAATCTTACTCAGTGTGAACAGGGTTTTATCTTGAAATAGAGATAACAATTCTATTTATAATATCACTGTGAGAATTATATGAAATAATACTTACAAAGCACCAACTAGTGCCTAGAACATAGTAAATGCTCAATAAATAGTGTTGATTTTAATGGTGTGATCTCATTCTACTCTTGTATAATGTACTCCAGAAATGGCTAAAGGGTTTCTCTTTCCCAATAGTTTTTGTTTCTTCTCTTTGCTATATGGTGATTAAAAAAAAAATTATCACTTTTCTCAGAACAAATAAATTTTAATCTTCTAATTTCTGATCATTAACTGCTTATCTGTAAGACTGTTTGGTGATTTCTAGTAAGAAACCAATTCATAATAAATCACTGGAGTGTAAAGATTGACTACCTCTTTATTTTTTCTAATCTGTCTTCTAAATGATCTCATGTGATTTGGAGGTCTTGCATTAATCATTTAAAGTGTTTTGTACTCTTAATTTCAACTTTATAAATGTTAGAAAATTTATACCTTGGGGAGATTTCTGCATCACAGATTCTGACAATATAATTTGATGTAGTTACCTTAAGGAACTTTCTTTATGATTCTAGTCTCTACCTAGGTGAGAAAGCAATTTTGAGCTCCTAGAAAAGTAATAAAAGCATTCTTTGGCTTAAGGGGAAGAAGCGTAGAAGAAAATTATATGTAAAAATAAATTAGAGAAAAGAAAGAACTCCGGGACATGAAAACACTTCTAAATATTGGGCTAAGAACTGTTTCCTCTATTCTGCCTAGAAAGGAACGTTAGTGGGCATAAGTAAGAGAGCAAGGAACTTGGCTTAGGTAAATTCCACCGCGAACTGACGATGGACATGAAATCTAAAAAGGAATGAGGGCACACCTTTTTGACCGACCGCAGTCATGATAATCCTTTCATGTACATATTGTCTTTCTTTCTTTTCTCTATCCTTGATTTTATTTTGTATTCTTTCCTGATAGACAAAGTGTATGAAGCTTTGAAAGTTTGATTGTGGTACAGGAACCTCTTCTCTTAGCCTGGTCATGACAGAGGAGGAAGAGGAGGAGGAGGTAGCTGGGACATTGGAGAGGTAGATGGGACAGCTTTCATTATTTGGTTAATGGTGGGTCAAAGTAGACTTGAGGTGTTTTGTGTTCTTTTAACATTTTTCAGCCTCTGGCGTTATCTTGTTAGAAATAGATTAACAAAAAGAACACCCAGGCTTCTAATCTTGAAAGGCATGAAATCAATACTAAAAAACGAAACAAAATGAGGCCTCTGGTGGCATTTATCAGTGTACTTCCCCTGGACTTGGCAACCCTAATCACGTAATGCACTACAGAGCTAACTCGAATTCACTAGGGATGCATTAGGCAACCAGTGTGTGACCTCTTTGGCTTACCTTTGGACCTTCTCATTTCTCATTGTGCTCTGCTTCCACTAATGATCACAATGTACCAACCCATGTCTACACTCAGCTGCATCATTTATTATTATTATTATCTCCCCTGGTTGTGTGAGTTGACTGGGCTCAGCTGGGTTCTGGAGATCTTTCATGTCAGATAGCAGCTGAGGCAGGAATAACATGGCCAGGTGTTCACGAGGGTGTCTTTATTCAAAGGTCTGTTACCTCAGATGGCTGGAATGGCTGGGGATTGCCTGGGCATCTCTGTCTTTCTGAGCCACCTCTTTGTGGCCACCTTGAGCTTCTTCACAAGCATGGTGGTCTCAAGGTAGTAAAATGTCTTACAATTCTAATGGCTTTCCCCAAAACAAGTGTTCCAGTAGACTGAGGCAGGAACTATTAGGTTTCTTTGAACTCAGACTTGGAAGTCGTGCATAATCACTTCCCCTGCATTCTGTTGTCCAAAAGTCAAGCTAGTGTACCAAACACTTATAAGAAACATAAACCCACTCAAGTACTTGTTAGTAAGTAAAAACTGGTGTTTCTTGATAGTATACAGAAATGGGCAAAAGGTAGGTCTTCAGCTGTGAGTACACAAAACAGTTTATTCTTGTGTTATGAATTATTGTAGTAGAACTATAAACTACTTTTGACCACCCCTGTATATATTTTAACTAAATATATCTGATGTTGGGTGAGTGTTGTCCATTAATAGAATTGCCTTTGTATAAGAAGTTTTGGTCAGAAGCTGCCACTAATAAAATGTTTCTTGGTTTATAGAATGGATTAGAAGCAGTTAATAAATCACTCACCACAATTTACCTCATTCCTTTCTGAACTTGGTACAGTAGTGTGTTATACCAAGTAGTAGCATGTCCTAATAATTATAGGATATTGTGTTTATTGAAAGGAAGGTAAGTTAGTTTTATTATTATTGTTCATTCTTTCATTCAATCAAGAAAGATTTGTTGACTATCTAGGCCCTGTGTTAGCCAGTAGGGAGCAGGGACAAATTCCTGCTATGGGTGGATTTTTGCCCTTATCAGTATAAATAGTAGCAATTTAAATGCTAACTATATGAGTTCATGCATTCAGATGCTTGGGCACTAGAGAAAACTGAGTCATAGAATAATAGTAACAATTAGTGGGCAATAAACCCTCACTTTGCGCATTATTCCATTTAATCCCCCCAAAAGGTTATTGGGATAGAGGCAGGGTTACTATTCCAGTTTTGTAGAGGTTGAAACTGACTCAGAGTAAAGAATGTTTCAAAGGTCACCTAATCTGTAGCAGTGGAACTTGGATTTTAATCCAAAGCACCTACCATTCAAAACTGCATTAAAATAATACCAGTGCCTTTATTTCTGAATTCTCTAACTTGTAAGAAATGTTTTAGAGAGGAATGGAGAAGGAGAGAGAGATAGAAACATCACTGATGAGAGTCATTGATTGGCTGCCTCCTGCACGTCCCCTACTGGGAATCAAGCCCACAACTTGGTCATGTGCCCTTGACCAGTATGGAACCCGGGACCCTTCAGTCCATAGGCCAAGGCTCTATCCACTGAGACAAACCGGCTAGGGCTTTACTTTTCTACAGTGGTAGGTGCATAATTTTAATGTCATATGTTATTTTAATTCATCTTTGATCAAATGTATTGACAGCTCCCACGCCTGTTCCAACTCCATGCTTCTTTTTGGTTTTACAATGACCATTATGAAATCTAAGAGGGATAGGTAGAGAGGAATGAAAACTTAATTTCATTGACATTTAACTGTCTACCAGCCAGTTATCAAGCTTGACATGCAAAAAAAGTGCTAAGTGACTGCAGAATGTACATGGGAAAGAAAACACGACCACCGACCTCATTAATAAAAGTAATCATGAATTCAAATATTCATGGGGCATTTACACTATGCCAGGCCCCGGAAAAATTTGGTTCCTAATCTGGGGGATCTCACCATCCAGTGGGAGACACTGAGCAGATGGTTCTCCTGGCAACACAGTCTGATAAGGGAAGCCCACCAGCGGGACACCTCACTGAAGAGGATGAGTGAGGAAGGGAGAAGTTCTAGGAAGAGTCAGACATTGGAGAAATGACTCAGATGCAGAAGGAGGGGTAAAGGTTCCATCAAGAGAATGCGCCCTGTGCAGTGGTTCAAAGTCTAGAAGACTTTCAGGAATTCCAGGGACTGCAATCATCTGCATAGCAGAGGGCAGGCTAGGTGTGTGAGGAGGAGTGGCCAGAGAGAGGCTGGCCAACAAAGACCCTTTTTTACGTGGCAGTCCGTTTGGGACATTTTCTCCATTTTCACTATGACTCTCCCCAGGACTGGAAAGGATTCTTGCGCTGGGGAATATGTTTCCGTGTGGGCCAGGCATTATAACGGGCTTCCCTTGTATTTGTGCACATTTACAGCCAGGCCACATGGAAACTCCACGTGTCAGGAGTCCTATCACCTTCACATTCCATGAGTCATTTATTGATGTGGTGACATATGCATTTATCCAGAAAAACCAAATCCATCTCTCACTTTGTCGATGTCAGTATGTTTAGGTAACAATCCAAGAGATAGATGCACTGGCATGAAACAGTGCTGCAGACCACTGACTTCATCAGGACAGTTTCAAGCCCTTCACTCCCTTTCTAGCCTGTCTCCAGTGGTTCTGAAAAAGAGGGAAGAAATGGCCTCTGTGTGTGGCCAGCTGGAGGGTGCAGAGTGCCGCTCGGTGCAGAGTGCCAGCTCTGCCAACACACACAGGGTGGGGCAGCAGGGAAGGGGCCAGGAGTCCCGGAGAGAGGGAACACCTACTCGCAGCCCCACAGGCCTCTCCAGCCCACTCCACTCCGCCTCTCTCTCTGCAGGGACCTCCCAAGAGGGAGGACCAGGGAGTCCCTCGGAGTATGTTCAAGAGTTGAAAGAACCTGTGCCCCCAAATAAAGCAGAACATCCACTCGCTCAGCTGGTCTCACTTCTCTTCCTGCTGCTCCTGCTGCAGAGCAGAGGCATGGGTGAGGAGTGGGATCTCAGGAGCTTCTTGGAGAGCTATGGGGATCACTGCTGCTTCCCTGGGCCCCACAGTTTCACAAGCTCTTCTCAAGGGCAGGCCCTCCCTCCCTCCCTCTCTCTCTCTCTTGTTTCCCCTCCTTCCACCTGACAGGGACCATAAATAACCTCGGCTCCCGGTGTCCCAGCTGAGAACAAAGTTGAAAGTTTGCCGGGAGCTCCCGCCACTCCCCGCTGGGCCGCTGCTTTGTTTTCCTCTGTTTTTCCTCCACCTGGGTTGGCCGGCTCCTGGCCCACGTGGGGGAAGAGTCACCCCCTCATTACATGCAGCACCTCGCTCCCGGCTCTCCCCCCGGTGGAAGGCTGTCTCGGTTACCCGGTTAGGCACGGAGCTCTGGTATCAGATTACCGAAAGTCTACACTGGAGCTGCCCTCATATTTACATACAAATAACTCAGGGCTTGCATTTATGTCACCATTCGGTCCTGCTAGAGGCTTGCCAGAGGAGTTTTTAATCCAATCAGAAGGCGCTTTAAAAGGATGTTGTCTGCGGAGTAATCAAAAGGATCTTAATCTCAATTAGGAGTAGCCAGGTTTTGTTTTTTCTTTTTCTTTTTTTTTTTTTTTTTTGGTCGAAAATCTTGAAAATCTTGGAGCTCTGATGAGTAGGAGAAGATGTGTACTTCCTCAATTGCCTACGAGGAGACGGAGATGCTGAGAGGAGCTCAGTGGCGTTGGTGAAGGCGGTGAAGACGGTGGCTACTCCCCAGGGACTGACTGGCTGGTTTGGGCTGATTTGGAGGTAGATTCTAAATCACTGGTTAAGGAATTCCTGGAAACCTCAGGAAGCATCTGATCCTCCCCTCCTGGTGAAAATGGCTTGGCGACAGAGTAAGATCTTTCTTTAAGTTGTACTTGGTGTGCACTGTTGTTGTTTTTGGTGTTTTTTTTTTTGTCTCATTTGTGGTGAGTGTGAAAATTAGCCCAGCTGTAAATAGTTACTTAAAATAATCTCCTGGTCGTGGGTCACAGAAGAAATTTGATCTGTTTAGTATTTTACATTTGGAAGAGAAAAAAAAAACACACAAACAGTAGTTGACAGTGTATTTTTGGACTTGATTAGTAGTTTAAAAAGATGAGCCCCTGCGGTTTCCTGAGTTTAAATGAATGGAAAGTATAAATGGGACTGAGAAAGGCATTGGAAAATGTCGCGGGAGCGGATGAATCACTCACCTTTGAGCAAACATAACACAGGGCTTTTGAAATCTCACGGGGCCAGCCAAGTTTGTGTCCAGAAAGAGAATGAGAGTCATAAAAAGGAGACAGCGTTTGCCTGTTTGCGGAAGGAACTTTGCCACGGCCTGTGCAAAGGATGGGAACCATCCCAGGGGGCAAAAGCCTCTGGAAAACCTGCCCTGTCACTCTTGGAATGTGGTTTTTCCGCGTGAGGTCATGTTGTGCATGTGTAGCCAGTCAGAGTATTTTCTGCGGTTAACTCTTTGCATCGATGGCTAAAGAACAGTTTATACAGTTCCTTTCCAAAGTGCTGGGAACTCCCATTTGATCTCTACTTTCCAATGAGGCTTCAGACCTGGGGGCCTCAGGGCTGGGTAGTTCATGTGATCGGTTTAGGGACAGTTGCAAATTGGTAGGATTCAACGTTCCCCAATTCAGCAGTTATCCTTCAGATTAAGTAGCTAGTTTTTTGCATAAGCCTCGAACAAATCCTGGGTGTGAGAAAACTATTTAAACAAAACTCTCTCTCCCCACATATAATGTCCAGAACAGTAAGGAAGAGGTGGTTTTTATTTTGCAACAACGTCCATTCAAACAGGCTGCCCTCATCACAGTGCGTTGAGGAAAACTAATTGACATTAAGAAAAAAAAAAATCCTTCTTTCTACTCTGCGTTGGCGGGAGAGAAACTTTTTTTAAAATCTGCACTTAACACCAGAGCTTTTTCTGCTACATAAATTCACTCCTGAAATGATGAACTAACCTCTGCCCATACTTTTTCCTACTAAATGGCAGCCACAAATATTATCCCGGGGACAGGAGAAGAAGACAGAGAGCATGGGTGACTTGCTGGTGACCAAAGGAATAGGGTTCTCCACCGCAGACACCTTTCCCAAAGGGGAGCTTCTGATGGGGGCTTGCTTTGTCCCTCCGCAGGCGAGGACGCACTGACGGGGGACACTGACAAGTACCTGGGGCCACAGGACCTCAAGGAGCTGGGCGACGATTCTCTGCCTGCCGAGGGCTACATGGGCTTCAGCCTCGGGGCCCGTTCTGCCAGGTATTTCATCATTGCTGTTGTTGTTTTCCAGGGGTAATTTAAAACAACCACGATCTGTCATAAACCAAAATCATTTTCCATTTTCACCATTCTCCCCACATATGCTCTTTGGATGAGGATGTGAATTGGGTGAAATGTTCGCTACTCCATTGTATGTGCTCCGCTATTTTCTTGCTATTTCCATTCATGGTTTTCAGTCCCTAATTGTCCCTGATTGACCGTGTTAATGGTTCTCTTTCTCCCCCACCTTGCAGTCATGCTTCAAGCATACTAGCAAAAGGGCTCACAGGCAAAACTGGGAGAACCGATCTGGGTCATATGTTTCAAAATTAAATTTTGTTCTAATGGAAAGAAAAATTCTTGTTTTCCAATAAGTAAGAAATGTTTGTGTTGGTGGTCACTGTTCTCTATTATTAAAAGAAGAATTCATGTTTGAGACTATCTATCTATCTATCTATCTATAGTTTATTAGACTTGCCTACCAAGTGTTTGAGTATCTCTTCTAAAACTTTCCCATTAATTTGTTTACAAGGGACATGTCAGGCGTGAAACAGTGACTTAGCAAGCCAGGGATAGTGGCAACTTCAGTCCCTACAACTAAAGCATAAAACTTGGGAATGTGGAAAAGCTTGGCTCAAGCTTACCTGACAATGGTTGAAAGAAGTAGGACCTTGTCCAGAATTTGGGGACTTCTTTTCCCTGGTTGGATTAACAGCTTGTTTGCTGACAGTCAAGTTATGTGAAAGCTAATAATTAAACCATCTGAGCCAGAGCCCTGGGGACATTTTCCTATTGTTTAAGTATCTGTTGTAAAAAGTTTCATTGTCTAATAGTAAATGGCACTTCCCACTAAGTAAACCTAAGAGTTAATTCTCAGTATCCTTGATGGGGCCAGTTTAGATACTGAATTGATGTTTTTTTTCAAGTTAATCTTTTTGTTTTTTTAACAGAATTTGGAATCTCATATAACGTAGTAGCGAAGACTTTATATATGCCTTAAAGTCTTTATGTAACAGCTGTCATTAACAAGAAGAGGAAATAACCTTTAATATTTCATCTAACCACAGATAATAAAAAAATATAACTAAATTATGTAAAATATTAAAGGATCTCAATCGAAAATTCTATTTAGAGATTTAATAGGCTTTGTAATCCAACAAGCCACTGATCCTCTTCCAGAGATAGTATATTAAAGGTAACATTTTGTTAATTACTCATTTGCATATAGGAAATTGTAGCAGCTGGCATCCAATGAATGATGAAACCAGAATATTGTCTCATTTTTTTTTTTTCCCAAGATGGTTGTGAGGCTTCCACACTTCTGGTTTTTATTGTACCATTATTATTATTTGTTGCTGTTATATGTAACTCATTTTTTTTTTTTTTTTTACATTGGCAACTCATGTTATGCTCAGAGGCAAATATAAAAATAAGTCATAAAGCCATTATGTATTAAGGTATAGTTAGAGTATTGCCAAGTATAATATTCTGAGTGTAACATTTAAAAAGAAATACATTAAGTGTGTAGCTCATTCAGCCATAACGTGTTTTTTTTTCTTTTTTCCCCCCCGTCTGATTTTTTTTTTTTTTTTTTTTTGCTTCCTTCTTCTCCTGTGTTTTTGTAAAAATACTTTTAAATAGTCCCAAGATCAGGTAAGAAATGGCACTTTCCAGTGTCCCCTGCCTTTCCCTGGATCATTTTCTCATTTTTGTTTTCCTCAGCATTGTGCTGTGCTGTGCTGTGTTCTGCCATGTGCTTTTCTGTTCTGCTCAGCTTTAGCAAATCAGTTTTGTGGTTCTGAGGAAATTAGCAAGTAGCTACATGTATGCTAAGAAATGTTACTCATGCAACATTGAATATTTAAGGAATTTCTTTCGCTTCACAAGGTTTGTATAGTGCATGAAGTAACTGGAGAGATGTCCCTGGACTTAAAGTAAACATCTGGAAGAGCTGTTTGTCTGCTGGTTGTGTTTTATTTGAGTTGTGCTAAGCACACTGTTATAATTTTAAGAATCCTCAGGCATGTGGTTTTCTAACACTTCCTGTACTTAACACGTAGGCTATACTGATGGCTACAAATAATATAGTTGACCTTAGTTAAAAACCGATTTAATGCTTTCCAGATCCCCATGCAAATAATGTCTAATTTTAGTAGCTGAAATTATTTCGGTGTATTAAGGATTCCCAGTGAAGCTTGATGGATTTAATTGGCTCCATCTGCTTAATGTAAGTTGGTCTGGAACAGTTCAGACAATAAAGCGGAGACATTGTTAGGCCTTTCTGTCAGTGGCTTCCATTTCGGGGGTCTGTCCTGTAGTTGGCACACCTCTGTAAGCGAAAAGAGGATGCTTAAGAGGTATCAACCCAACTTAGGTATAACTAAAAGCTGAAATTAAAATAAATATGTAAGTATTTCTTTAAAATGTTAAGTCTTTGCCCACATCTACAGTAAAACTGTTCTCAGGTATCACCAATCCTATATAATAAAAGGCTAATATGAAAATCTACTGTCATTATGATGTGCATTGACCACCAGGGGGCAGACACTCAATGCAGGAGCTGCCCCCTGGTGGTCATTGTGCTCCCACAGTGGGAGCGCCGCTCAGCCAGAAGCCAGAAGCAGCGCTAAGGATGTTTTAACAGAAAGACTAGCTAAGGATGTCTAAATGACAGTCCGTGAGGAGTGGGCTTAAGTCAACAGTCATACATCCCCCAAAGGCTCCCATACTGTGAGAGGGTGCAGGCCTGGCTGAGGGACCTCTCCACACAAGTGCACGAATTTCGTGCACCAGGGCTCTAGTATTAGCATACATCGAAGGGACCATAACTTAAATGAGTGCCTGAGGGGGCAGGTGAATTTCTCAAATCACACCCCTGCGGCAAAATAGAGCCTTGCTGTGAGTACTTAGAAGTTGCACTGTCTGATAGTGTAGCTCCTAGTGGCACAGCTATTTAGATGACAATTATTTAAAATGAAAATAAAATAAGATCTAAAATTCAGTTCTTCAGTCACTGGCCACACTCCAGGTGCTTGCAGCCTCGTGTGGCAGGTGGACACCGTGTTGGACAGTGCGGGTTTAGAACACATCCTTCTTCGGGAAAAGTTCTGTTGGACAGCTGACTTAGAGAGTAGAAAGAGAGTTCCTGCTTTTAGAAAGTTTATAAAATGTACTTGAGAGAATGTGAGAGAGCTAAAACAGGAATAACGGAAGGAAATGTTTGCAGCCGAAATAGGGGTGGGTGGGAGAAAGAGTTATGAATTATGGGGGTACAGAAGGCCCAAGTGTTCAAGGTCACATGGTTTACTAGGTAAGCACCTCTATGCAGGGATAATGCTTACTTTTTTCCCTTCTGTATCCTGTTCTTAATATTTTGACTAGCTCCTAATAGCCACTTAGCAAATATTTGCTGAAGACACTAAGTAATGACTATAGAGTATTAATCATTCTGGAGTTCTAGATCCCTCTAAGATTCTGGTGAAAGCCAAGACTCTGGCCCTAGAAGAATGTACATCCTCATTTATGTAGACACATCAAATAATTCAGAGGCCTCTGTGTATTGATATGAAAATACTCACTTTAGGGTAATCCTTAGTACAGTAAGTGCAGAGGGAGAGAGAAATCGTTTTGTGCAAAGCAAGGAGTCATTCCTTATTCACCTCTCCCTTGCTCTCTTCCCTGTCGAGTGCACACAAGGCCAAGGCCAGAGTCTGACGGGATCTACTGGTAAAGATTCCTGCAGCCACATTTACATCCAGGCAGTTTGTTAATTACATAGGCAGCGACAGGTGCCAGCTGCCATGGGCCTTGTCTGCCACACTAGCTGAGGAGCCAGCTCTAGACTGCAGCTACATGGTTTAGTGTTCTGCCCCTCTCTGCCAAGTAGGGTGGGCAGGAAGCCTCAGGAGGCAACAAAGAGCTGCCTGGTCACAGCCCACCATGGCAGGTGAGCGAGGGAGGCATGCGGGAGAGGCCTGAAGCAGCGCCCCACCTCCACCCGCTGTGTTCCTGTAGCAACACAGGTGTCCTGCCAAGGCTCAGACCACCTGCGAGTCCTATGTGGACACGTGCAGGGTTACCAGTGCCCCTTCTCTGTTGCTTTTTAAAAGATCAAGATATAATCGACAAATAACATTATATTAGCTTCAGATGTACAATATATTGATTCAATAGGTGTATGTATTGAAAAATGATTAGCACAATAATTCTAGTTAACATCCGTCACCACACATAGTTACCATTTTTTCTTTCTTGTGATGAGAACTTTTAAGATCTGCTCTCTTAGCAACTTTCAACTATATAATACAGCATTATTAGCTATAACTGCCAAGCTGCACATACACCCCCGGGACTGACTTATTTTATAACTGGGATTTTTGTACCTTTTGACCACCTTCAACCTTTTTCGCTCATCCCCAAATCCTTGTCAGTTTTTAGTTTAGAGGTCAGTGTGGAGAGTGGCATGTGAGGGCATAAGGAAGCTTGCACTCTGGGAAGTTCAGGTGCTGGGTAGAGGATTTGAAAGCAGGTGAAAGGAGAAGGTAGAAGGAGCAAGAAAGAAAAGGAAATAAAAAAGTGAGCTCACCTGGAAATGAAATTTTTAAGGCCAGAAAGATGGCAAGGATGGTCATGTAAGATGGATTCATAACACTGCTTACTTCCTTCTTGATGCTTTGCCTGAGTAGCAACCATAAAACTCTCAATAATTTAACTCTATATTCTAGCTCCCAAGACACATCAACAGAACCATTCACAGCAGACACAAGTTCATTGAATAATGTAAGCTAACCAGATGTGGACCAGAAAGAGAGGAGACTAACATAAGGTCTTACCATAGAAAAATCTCTCAGGTTATCAAATTATCTGGAATGATCTGGTTCTTCTCACTTGTCCTGTTGGTTTGACTGTTGCAGTGCAGCATCCAAAGTTTTCATGCATTTCATCTTCTCACAGACTTAACACCAATTGGCCAGATTTTAAACAAAAACTGATCATGAGATTGTCCAAGCTTAAGAAATTTCCTCAAATATAAGGGATTTTATTTTATTTTTTTGTTGATATTTTTAGCCATCTTGCCTGTTTTTTAAAGTTGCATGCATTAATTTTTTTTTTATTCATCTCATCATCATCTACCACTCTTGAATGGTTAACTGTAAATACAACAGCCTCCGCTCCTTCAGTTCGGATAGGTCTTACACCTTGAACAGAAGCTCCTATGCCCGGGACAGCATGATGATTGAAGAACTCCTGGTGCCGTCCAAAGAGCAGGTAGGCATTCTTTTTAAAAAATACTCTTTGATTGTAAAACTTCCATTTGTATGTTTGAATCAAACTCTTTGTCCCATGACAAGAACTATATTTCTACATGTTGTATTTTGCATTTGTAAATCTCTCTGTATTGCCACTTAAAAAAAAAAATTATCAGCCCGACGGGTGTTGCCCTACAGTTGAGCATCGATCTGGGTTGCAGGCTCCATCCCCAGTGTGGGGTGTGCAGGAGGCAGCTGATCAATGATTCTCTCTCTCATCCTTGATGTTTCTATCTGTCTCTCCCTCTTCCTTCCTCTTTGAAATCAAGAAAAAAAATTTTTTTTTAAATCAATTGTGCCATAAATGGAAATAACCTTCTTTTCCTCAGTGAGTCCCTAAAAATCTCACTGAGGAAAAACTCAGAAAGTCCTACGCAAAACATGGATCTCTTTTCTCATTTCTAGGTCTAATCTAGTTTAATTTTTAAAAAGAGTTCATAACAATAATTGGTGGGTAAAGTTATGTACATTATCCACATGAATGTTTGATTTTCCTAAACAAACTTTTTGTTAATCTTCACCCAAGGAGATTTTTTTCCATTGCTTTTTTTTTAAGAGTTGAAGGGAGGGAGAGAGGAAGAGAAAGAAAAAATATCGATGTGAGAGAGACACATTGATTGGTTACCTCCCACAAGCACCTTGACCAGAACTGGGGATCAAGCCTGCAACCCAGATAATGTGCCCTTTCCCAGAAATCCAACCAGAGACTCTCGGGTAAATTAGCCAATGCTCTAATCACTGAGCAATGCTGCCCAGGGCTTTCTAAACAAAATTTTTATCATGTTAGAATTCGCTACAGTTGTTTTTAGCAAGTAAAGATTAGATTGGTTCACGTTTTTCATTCCTTAGTTTCCAAGGTGTGTAATGGGCCTTCTCAAGATGTGATAGCATTTTGCTTTCTATCAGAATCTTTGCTTGGTGTTTGGGTGTTTCAATAATTGTGGCTGAATAGATATTGGTTTAATACAAGAAGTCCCAGCAATGTGGTTCTGCTGCATGTGGGCTCAGGATGGTTCACTATACTAGAAACACACAATACCTGCTTATAAATTTGCATTCCTGAGTTGATGATGGAGGAAACTGTTTGAGCTATAAAGTTAATTTTGAATGTGGCTTATAATACTGAACAATGTAGATGATTGGTGAAATGATGCTGGACTTATTCACTGCTCAATGAAGGTAAATTTGAGCAGATGAATAAGATGATAAGCCGAGAGTCAGAACGTCAGGACTCCCACTTGTCTGGAGATGCTGATTTCCAGACACACAGATGTACATTGTGCATCACGAGGACCTACAGCAAACATTTTATTATTCTACGCTCCCTAGAACATTCTGAGCTTCCAGGCCTTCCAAGGTGAATACAGTGGCTATTCAGTTTGTTTAGACAAAAACACCCTTGTGGAATGATTACAGGTACAACAGTTTGTCATGGTTGACGTTGATGTTAACACTAAAAAATCACTTGTCTCAAATCATGAAGCTAAGGACTTGGGTGTGAGGTGTTGTCCTGGTGTTGGTTGAGAAGTTCTGAAGGACTCTGCTTGTTTGGCTGTGGTCAATATTCTAGTCAGATCATCCTGATCTCTTGATGTTCCCAACTGAAATGAGATGTTCATGGGGTAATAATTACAAGTGTAAAAATGCCTGATATTCTCCAGATGTTAAAGAAACCACACAGACTTATAAAATTGCAGGTGAAAGTATATTTGTTGTGTATCAGTGACATTTTTCTCTTGAATGAATCGTGTCTAGTTCTATACTGAAATAACAAAATCCATGATTAAACTAATTATGGTCTAAATTTTGAATGTGTATTTGCCTTGTGGCAAGGGCCTGAAATTGGGATCACAATCACCATGACTTCATCATATTGCCACTACCATCACCATCCATCACTGCCACCATCACTTCCACCACCACCTGCACCACTATTACCACCATAGTTACATTACCTCCCATGTTCAGCACAGCAACCATAAAGTAAAATACGATAAATATTTGCAATACTGCAAGGTTACAGATGGACTTCTGTGGGTCCTCACACCATTCACTGTTAGCTTTTACCTAGACATACTTAAGTGGAATGAAGGATTTGTGAAAAATAAAGGGTAAAGAGTTTTGAGATAAAACTGATGCCTTTTGCTCATTTTGTTGCTATTTCAATTTCTGTGGTCTTCACAACACTCCTGTAGAGCAGTCAGGGGAATGGCAGGCTTAGGACACCTTGAAACCTTTACAAAGAAATCTGAAGCTGATAACTACAGAAGCAGGAAGTTGCTTTCTTTAATGACCACAGAGAATCCCATGGTCTGGCGAGCATGCCTTGTCGAAAGGGCATGTTTCATGAACATATAACCTTACTCCTGGCCATACTTTCATGATAAATTCCCCAGAGATTTGAAAAAAAAAATGTGGACGGCATAAAAACATTGTAGTGACGATTTGGGGGCATTTGAAAAAAAATTTTTTTAAATATATTTTATTGATTTTTTTACAGAGAGGAAGGGAGAGAGATAGAGAGCTAGAAACATCAATGAAAGAGAAACATCGACCAGCTGCCTTGCACACCCCCCATCGGGGATGTGCCTGCAACCAACGTACATGTCCCTGACCGGAGTTGAACCTGGGACCTTTCAGTCTGCAGACCGATGCTCCACCACTGAGCCAAACCGGTTTCAGTGGCATTTGAAAGTTTACTGGCTATCCTGTTAGGAAATAGTTAATTTTTTAGCAGCTGTAACAGTATTGCAGCTCTACAGGGGAATATCTCTATTCTAGGCAGGGTTATGCATTGCTGAAGTTTTCAGGAATGAAGTAATTATTAAGTCAGCTATTTATTTTCAAGTACTTCAGCAGGAATAAAAAAAGTGTATGTGTGTAAAGAGAGAGAGGAGGGGAGGGAAAAGCAAATGCAGCAAAATGTTAATTGTTTAATGTAGTGGAGTGTATATGGGTATTCCTTAGACTGTTTTTTCAACTTATTTGTATGGACACCTTCAAAAGAGAAAACCTGGAAGAAAGGGGAAAACAAATTCTGAAAGAGGTGTATTAACCTATTTAGTCCCAAGAGTCTCATTCATTATAGAAGAGAGAGAAAAGGCTAATTCTTCAAAAGAGAAGTTTCCAGAGGGAGGAGTCCAGTTACACTGTGCACGATTAGTGAGGAGCATTTACCTTAGCAGCTCATTTACACGCCTTACATTAAAATTTAAGTACAAGAAGTATTAGTTTATGTCTATCATGCCTCTTGCTCTAGATTTATAAACTTCAAAGCGGAGTTTCTCCACGGTATTGATTTTGTGTGAAAGCATGCCAGAGGTCTTGGATCCTTAGAATTTCTAAAGCAGTGTTCCATGACTTACTGTCAGGTTTAAAACTGCCCTGTCATTGTCCAAAGTTGCTTTGACAAGGTAAGGCGGAAAAGGATAAAAATTAACTCTCCACACATTTTTTTCAGCATGCGTAGACCTCACCCACATAAAGCCTCGTTTATTTTCCTGCTGCTGCTGATATAGCAGCTTGCACATTAACCACAGCTACAGGACAGTTGAGACCCAGGGTAATTCCCACAGGCCCGCCACCTGTGTGCTTGGAGGCAGGTGTGGAGGCCGGCACTGGGGAAGAGAGTTGGGAGAAGCAAGCCATCCTCCTTCCTTGCTGGGCCTTCACAGGATTAGTCTGTAAACTGCTCAGTCCTCCCTCCACCCCGGTAAAGAGTGGACTTTTTTTTTTTTTTAATGTGATATGGGTTATCCATGAACTCCCAATTCTTTCACCTTTTAATCAAGAGCCACCTTTAGATATGTTTCTGAAAATTATATGCAAATAAACCACATCTTGCATTTGTCAGGTGATTGTCTGACTACTGGTGAGAATCACAGAGTAAACTTATTTATGTATTTACTTATTTATTTATTTTTAATTTATTTCAGAGAGGAAGGAAGAGGGGGAGAGAGATAGAAACATCAATAATGCGAGAAAATCATTGATCAGCTGCCCCCTATGTGTCCTACACTGGGAATCAAGCCCACAAACCGGGCATGTGCCCTGACGGGGAATTGAACCATGACTACCTGGTTCATAAGTCAGTACTCAACCACTGGGCCATGATGGCTGGATACCCAAAGAACTTAAAAACAAAACAAAACAAAAAAAAACCAACACGATGGCTCAGTTCAGATTCAGTGGATCTGGGTGGGGTCTGGGCCCCGAACTTTTGAATGCACCCGGAATTGAAAAGCACCAATTCCTGGTGAGAGCACACATTGGAATTAACTGTGGCTGTTTGGAAAACAAGCTGCCGACAGAATCAGAATCTCCCTGATGGGATTCCTGGGCATGTGTGTATTTCTAACACCCCACAGGTTATCCTGGAATACGCATGTAGGTAGGAATCGCTGATTTAGGGCACTCTGCCTGGGATCTTCCTATATATTGGTCAGTCGACATCTAATGTATTTGTTTTATAAGCTCAGAGTTGTGCGTGTCAGGTAGTCTTAGAGCAAGCATTCTTGGAAGCATTTCTTTCCAAATAGGTGGTAATAAAGAAAGGAGATGACTCGAAGCGGAAGCCCATTTGTCTAAGATGAATAGAATAGACGGCTCTGTCCTATCTCCTGACATAATTATGGGAAGCACTCTCTGTGCTGCTGCTGTCTGTGGTGGTCCAGGTCAGCCAGGCCTCTTCACATCAGTGGAGTACATTAGCATCTGGAGATATGGCTGCGATACGTGGAAACGGCTAATTTTGAGCTCCTACTCCACGCCAGGCACTATTCTAAGTTTTACCAGCATTAACTCATATCCCCTTCCCAAAAACCCTATGAAATCACTTCTTGGCTCCATTGAAAAGATGAAGAAACTGAAGTGCTCAGACTGCTTATGTGACATGCCCCAGGGGACGCAGCTGGTAAATGGCAGAGAGCCACTGGCCATGTGGCCCCAGGTTGCCTCCTT